TGTTCATCCAAGTAAATTCCCATACTAATCCCATAAACTACTATGGTTATTCCCATTTTTCAGATAAAAAAAACAGAGACAGGGAGAGTGATTAATGCATCCAGATCAGAAAGCTAAGCTGTTTATGGTCTGGGCCTTAGGCATCAAGCAGTATTTGGCCTCTGCTGCTATTGTTAAATGTGCCAGGCTGTTAATCTACGATTTTTAGAGTTGCTCATTTCCACAAATGCCCAGGATGCAGTGTGCAACCTCAACTCAAAGTGGGGTCTCTGGGCCAGCGGCGCGGCAGCACCTGGTAGCCCGGCAGAAATGCAGAGTGTCGGTGCACCCTCCGCCCCCTGCCCCAGGGCTGCTGTACCCCAAGACCCCAGACCTTCACAGGCATGTCCACGTTTGAGAAGCACTGCTCTCTGCTACCACAGAATGGTAAGTCCTGCACACCCTCCTTCCCTTCCCTCCCCCCATCTAATTTTGTCTAGTAATTTTAAGTTCTTTAAAAGTAACAATTACAGAAAAATTATAATGTCTCAAAATATCTCTCCAAGAGGTCCTCAAAGCTGTATAACTGGAACTAGAACAAGGATTTCCGAGCATCTTTGAATTGCTTTTGAGAAATTAGAGAAAAATTCAAACACTTAAAAGACTATGAGTTTCAAAATTCACAGAAACATACACTTTATACACAACGGGCCCAACTGAGACCCGGGGGTCCGAGGGCACTCAGAGCCTGCGTTCTGTTGTGTTTTGCACTGGGCCACATTTCCTGAGCAGATGCTGCACAACACGGAGCCACCCCATGGTAGAAGCCCTGTTGATGGAGAGGAGATGTGAGAACCAAGCTGTCAACAACCCAGTTCCTGCCAAACCTCATTTGTCTGCCTGCCAGCCAGGATTCTGAAAATGCACTTGGGAATTTTGACTTTTGGCTTTTACTGAACATGAAATTCTACTGTGTATATATATACATAGCCTTGATAAGCTGACCCAGCTTAGGAATAGCGATGACATATTTTGTCTTACACGATTCAGAATCCATTTCTAGAAGCAGTGATAATGAGGCCATTGAAAGAACTGAAAGGGACCGCCTCTCTTCCCTGCACAGCCATGTAGGTCCCCATTCTTAAATTCCATTCAGGTAGTCCCAATACTGCAAACTGGTATAGGAAAGGAGTGAGAACACTTGCTCTGGGGTTGGGGAGTGGGGAGGGCCTTGGAGGACCACTGTGCTTTGCCAACAGGCTGCAGAGCCAGCTGGACTTTCAGCTAGCATCACTTTCTGGTCCTTAATAGGGGAAAGATCAAAATATGATTCAGGAAAATGTAGGATCACTAAATGCTGCCTGCAACTTCTGCGTAATTTTTTTTTTTAGTTTGGAGCTAGTGTTTCCAAAGTTAAATTATTCAAGGTGAGTCTCAGTTTCAGCAGAATGGCATTAAATTGCACCATCCTTAGCAATTTAATTGCTGTCTGTTCCCCAGAAGACAGATCTCAGTTGGAATCCTGGTGTGTTGGTGTGTCAGCCCTAAGATTACTCAAAAGCTTTTTTTTTTTTTTTAAATTTCAGGTTTCATATTTTTAATGTTCACGTTTGTCAGTTAGAGCCTATATATCATGTGCAGTTTAAGGAGTACCTGCATGTGCGCCTAACCGACACGGGGCTGTGTTCTTGGCGGGGGGTGGTGGTGGTGGTGGTGGTTGGGGGAGATGGGTGGGGGGGTGGGGGTGAGAGCTACCGCTGCCCCACTCTGGTGGGCGTGTGAAGCCAGGGCCGGCTGTGGCAGGGACACCAGGGACAAGATGCTCCCTTCAAACTGAAATGTGCCTTTTCTTTCGAGTCGCGGTTTTCTGCTGGCCTTACTAGCTTCAGAGTGGCGAGTGGCTAATGTATTTACTATCATGGCCCAATAGACTTTGGAAATAAACTTTTTTTTTTTTTTAGCTTAATGCCTTTGTTTCTGCACCTCTGTGAATCCTTTTATTTTAGTGTTTAATATTCACAGATGTACACATCTGTGAACCCATCACCCCATTAAAATAGTAAATGTATGCATCTACTTTCCTTGTGCCTTTTTCTGATCCTTCTACTCTGAAGCCATCAGTCTACTTTCTGTCACTATGGATTACTTTGCATTTTTCTTTCATTTTCTTAAAGGCAGCTGAGCAGAGAGCACAAGCCCATTTTTCTACCTAGAACCATGGGCATGCCTAATTTGTAATGAGTTTGCTTCACCTTCCCGTGACCTCTCTGGAGCCAGAGTAACAAAAACTTAATCCTCATGAGGCTGCTGGGGAGCTCAGGGAACAGCAGTTATTTCTTACCTAAGGCAAACCCCACTGGCAGCTCAGTCATACGTTCCTTTCCTGACTGTCAAAAATTTCAGAACATTCACAGTTAAAAATATTTTATTTCAGTTCATACAAAATAGTCATGTACAAAAATGTACACAACATTTTTTCATTCAGTTTACATTTTAAAAAAGGACAGCTGTAATTTCAAATCCTTTCTGCTTACATGTCATGTAAACATTGTTCTGGGCCCATATTATTAACTAAAATTCTATCTACTCTTGGAGATTTTCAGGACAGTATGGATAGATGCTTTCAGATTGAGAATCAGATCTGCCCAACCAATTTCTCGAGCCACGCACATGACCACAAGAGCAGGGCGGGTTCCAGGCAGAAGGAGTCTCTAGAGACATAACTGCAATTTCACAGCCATATGAACTTGTGGATGTACATATTTCATTTTATATACACGTTTGTGTAAATCTGTAACTAATCTCAGCCTGTGTACGTACTTCTATTATGAAGGATCATAGAAGAGTGCAAATGCCCACAGGGGCACAATCGCTACTCTGCCATTGACCAGCGCCACCATGCAGTGCCTGCCTTACAGATCACCCTTGTGTGGAGCAGGCCGTGTTGACCATGTAGAGTGTTAGCATGCAGAATTTGAATAAACATGTGGAAATAGATTTAGCTAGTCTTATGACAAAATGCACTCAGTAGTACATTTTGAGGTTACTGAAGAGTACGTTTTATGGGTCAAGTGGAGAAAAAATAAAAGTGGGGAATAAAAGGAAAGAAAGCACATTGTGATGTCTGCCACACATACGTACTTCAGAAGAGACACTGCTTCACACTTCCAGACGGCTTTGTCCCTCCCTATTGATGCAACCGAGTGGATACTGAAAAAGAACATAAAGGAGGTGTTGGTCTTGCTACAAAAACCACCTCTCCCCATCTAGGGGTGAAAAAATCCTCTAGGACGCAGTGTGTCAGGGAGATCCTTCTTGAATGCAAAATAGAATTTTAGACTACAGCCAACTTTTCATAAGGCAGATGATGGTTTATGACATTCAACTATAAATAGACCATCAAAAGTTTCTTAACACTGTTAAGAAAAGTGACATCTCCATTTTCAGATTAAGAGTCTCTTTTCAAAGGTTAATCAACAAACTGAAATCTGATTTTCCTTGTAAATATGATCAGTTCTGTATATTGGGCCCAATTCTGTTTGCTGAGAAGTAGGAAGTTCTATTAAGAACCAGCATAATCGGTTACCACGGCAGCCCCTTTTATAAACCTAAATATTCACCTTATTAGGAATTCCAAGCTCAACCACATTCACAAATGCTCAGCCTCAGGAACTCTAGGACTGCAGGCCTCAGGACATCTCCGTGCAATATTCATGATATAAGCACAGCCTTGCAACATTGGTCCCAGGCTAGAAACGCCACACCTGGGAGCAGGGACACTCTGCAACAGCCTCCTCCGCCACCACGCAAGCATTGCATCAGAATGAGACAAAGCCAAAATTACACCGATGTTACAAATAGATACGTGGCTGATCCCTGCCTAGGCAATAAAGAATACACTTTTGACTTCAAACTGGCAACTAGATGGAAGAAATCTAATTTTTAGCTCTCAATGCATTATAGCTAGCATTAAAAAAAATCAGTTCTCCAGTTTGAAATTTGGTTTGGTCTTCCATGGAAATTTCCCCTGAATTCAGGCAGATAGATCACTGAGGTTGTGTGAGCTTTCTTCTAACAGTAAAGATAAACCAACCATCTGAAAGTAAGCAGGCCCTTCTCCTAAACCTTGCACATACATGTCTGAAAAGTGAAATTCAAACTAAATGATTCAGAGACGAAACGCAGTAATGATACCATACCGACCGAACATAAACATCTATTTCAATGTTTACTCCAGACTGAACACAAAAAAGCAAATGCTTGTGAAAATTGCAGGCCTCTGCCATTTCTAATTCTTACAATCATACAATCAAGTTTATTCATGCTTCGCCTTTACTTATCATTGTTATTAAATAACCCCTGACATTTATTTTGTTGGCATGTGCCAATAAACACACATTCCCAAGAGAGCAAAGGAAAAACCCCAGTCCCGAGTATTCTGTGTGAAGCCAATTAAGACACTGCCTCTAGGGCCTTGAGACCCTGGGCTGCAGAAATGGTTGCTGTGGAAACAAATTTGCCTCAGCATTTCTGGCAGAGCCAGAACCTACTGCCATGTCTTCAAATAGGATCTGGTGTAAACAGAGTTTTTCCACCCTTAATCTGGGCACCATTCTATAAAGTTAATATCGATTAGAAATTACAAAGGAGAACACGACATTCCATACACAATTTATTTGACTGTAACTTGGTGTTTTCGTTTATTCAATCATACAAATTTGAATGGGGAGTCCTGGATAAATCTTTTCCTTAATTTACCTTTGGCAGAAACTACAGATTTCAAACATTTAGTAACTCCTCATTTATATAGCATGTTTCTTTTAAAATTCTGTAGCATATTAGTATTTTCAAAACAATACTCTTAAACAGATGTGCTTTAAAGGTTAACTGGTAATGATTTGATTTATATTATAGCTTATTTACGAGAATAATTACTCAAAAAGGACAGACTAGACATGTATTTCTTTTAAAAAATACAATTTTTGGTCATGTGAATGATTCATGTTCAGATTTCAAAAATAGAAAATGTCCTAAAGTGCTTAATTTTATTTATAATATAACTCCTTGAAATTATAGTGATCTGCAATGTAAACAGTAGAGCAAAGAATACCAAACTACATATTCATGTACAGTTAAATTTGTAGGGTTATGTACCGTCTTTCAATGTGTGGATTAACACAGGGCACTTCCAACACACAGCTCATGCTTCTATAGGATTATTTTTAAGAGCAAACTTAAAGGTATTCTTTTCCCCCTCCTCCCGACTTAGAACAGTTTTCCATTGTTTCCAGTGGAAAACTGGACAGCTTCCACCTCACTTCAGCAATGGAAAACACCTCCGTAAGTCAGTCCCATCCGACCAGTTTCTCAAGAACTCATTTTGAAGCTGACAACTGGTCAGTAGAGTTTTATGTTCTCTTTATTTTTCTCTTCTTAACAAACAAACCAAAACGGTATCCTTTAAGATGGCAACTCTCAAAACCTATAGGAGGGCAGCCTGACTTCCTGTTCATCCTGTGGTGTTATCTTCAAAACGGCAGAGGCTGCTCAGATGCCTTCTCCTGGCAGCCAGCAGCTGGTGTGCACACACCAGAGCCCACCTCGCCGAGCGCAAACCCGGGCCTTGGACGGAAGGCAGAAGCAGAATTCACTTTCTTCCGTGCAGACACAGAAGGTTCAAAAGTAACAACAAATCACAAGGCGACATCAGCACAGTGAAGAGATGAATGATCTGGTGTTTTAAATTCCCTGGTCTTCCCAAAATGTCTGATATAGACAGCTTTTGTGATATAGTCTTTGAAAAAATTATAATCATTAAGTGACCACACACCGTTATTTTTCTTCTTATACATGATCTTGAAAATAGTGTGATTTGGATTCTGCCTTGGGCTGAGTTCTCAGGGCTACATGTTACCCCTCAGTGAGGGGATTTTAGTGCAGGTTTACTTTAGAAAAAACCTTTAAACTCTGGTAAATACTCGGAAGGCTTAGAACACAGGCGCTTTCTTTCTCTCTCTCATGATCCTCAACACTTAAGCTAAGAATTAAGCAAGATCCTTTAATGCGTGGCTAGAGCCAAAATGAAATCAAGCCCCAAACAGGATGCCATAGCATGCTGGCTTTGCTTAGTGTTCGATGTGAAAATCTGAGACCAATTAAGTGCAATCCACGTTCGGGAAAGAATCTTTCAGGCTCTTCACCCTGTTGCCTGATTTCGAAATCAGCAATAACCTAGCTATATTCCCTCTGTCCTCCGCAGATGATCCAGTCCTAGTCCAGAATCAAAATTCTGCGTCAGCTGAGGGTGTGTTAAAGAAACACACCAGCAAACAGATGACTGTGCCACTGAGCGGGGCGGACACGGCTCCCGTCTACCTGAGAACCAAGGGGGGGGGGGTCCATTCACGCGACAGGTGAGGGACAGCTCTATGGAGAAGTCATGGGAATGGCCCTGCGGCAGCAAATAGGGCTCCAACGCACGTTCCTGCTTTCCTGGGTGCGAAGAGAACATGGACCTGCATAGCAAGCTCGCTGTCCAGAGTGAAGTCCTGAGCTGGTTGGTTGGTTGGTTTGTTTTTACATCACAGTTAGACATGTTTCTCAGTTACCCAGGGGAGAACAGTGTGTATTCTCTGCAAATGAGCGGGTGTCCATGTAGTGATCCACCACCACTAGCGCTAGGAAGGCTTCCCTGGCGGGGCCACGTGTGCCTGCAGGGTCTTGTCTTTTCCTCACCAAATTCTTAAATGGAGGCAAGTTGCCCTCTTCCATCTAGGCAGTTTCTGCGGCAGGCAATGGAAACCGGAGCTGACCCCCGAAGGCCCGGAGGCGGACGGGCCACATGCTTTGCAGGTCCAGTACCAGTGCTGCCTTCCAGTTTTTGCAGAGCCGCTATTAACTAGGGGAAGTGGGTGACAAGCTCGGCCCGCACCTTCTGCCCCCTTTGCTCAGGCTGGGGGCTGGCCTCCTCACATGGACTTGGAATCAGTGTCTCTCTTGCTGATGAGCACCTCCAAGAGCCTTAGTTTCGCCTTTATGTGCTTATATTCGTTGTATTCTTCAGCCATGGGAGCCCGGTCTTCCTTCTGGATATTTCTAATGGAAACAAAGGGAAGGAGGGGTGAGGGTCATCTAGGGGATACTGCTCATCAGGTGAATTATCATGGTGTAGAAACTTTGCAGTTTATCAACCTGTAGAATCAGTGTTCCCAAGTGTTGCTTGGTATCAAGACTGGAGCTGGGTTTGGACAAACAGAGAAAGATAGCTTCCCCCAGAAGGGACCATGCAATTGAATTTTTAGAGTTAATCTGGCATCCTGTAGAATGGTACGAAGGACTACAAAATGCAGAGATTTTCTCTCTCTGCTGCTGGTATGTATGAATGCATATTAAGAGCCTCCATAGACTGAAATCCTTTATTTATACTTCCTTTTCACTTGTATCTATTTCATCTAATGAACCATTAAGTTTCTAATTAGCAACTGGCATACCCATAATTTACAGGTTGAAGAAAACAGATAGTTAATATCCTAATTATAAACTTAGTCTTGGAATTCAGCGATTGGATCACATAATACTAATAAGCCTTTACAGTTTACTAATTTTATATGCATTCTTTTTATATGTGCAAGTATTCATTGAGAGCTTATTACAGACCAAGCAGTGTGCTAAGTACTCCGTCTCCATGGCCTAATACGACCCTCACGAGAATGTGATGAAATGGTGCTACTGCCTACATTCTCAACCAGTGTGAGGTACAGTCCTGCTTCTCATTTCACTTTGAAATGCACATGTCAAACATTCAAAAACAGGCTCCTTTTCTTCTTACTAAAGAGAAAATATAAGAAAGGGAATAGCATGGGGCTTATTTAATTTTGTTCAATGAACTAAAAAATAAACTGATTTTATTCATGCCCTGAGCCTTGTTCAAGTAAAGGGCTCTACATGGCTTCTCAGCAGAGGGCAGTAAAAGGAACAGCAATCTAACAGTTGCCTTCACCTTGCTCTTTGAGGAACTTTGCTCTCCTCAGATATGAAATAATGGAACCAGATTTAATGATGTCTGAAGTCAGAGATAGATTTATTTATTTATGAATGAGAGACACAGACTGAGAGAGAGAGAGGCAGAGACACAGGCAGAGGGAGGAGCAGGCTCCCTGCAGGGAGCCCGATGTGAGACTTGATCCCAGATCCCAGGATCACAACCTGAACCGAAGCCAGGGGCCAAATGCTGAGCCACCCAGGCGTCTCTGAAGTCGGAGTTTTAAACTTGTATGATGGGGTACCTAGCTGGCTCATTTGGAAGAACATGTGACTCTTGATCTCAAGGTTGTCAGTTTGAGCCCCAAGTTTGGTGCAGAGATTACTTAAATAGATAAAAACTTTAAAAAAAAAAACTCGTATGATGATTATAAATTTCCATCAGCTATACTTTCTTAAAACTTGTGAAATTTATATCATTTTATATATTTCCTCATGTACAAGATATCTGTGCACAAAGTGACTATAATTATATGGAAAAAAGATAAACAGACAAACCAAAAATATGTTTAGAAGAATAATGGAACAAACATGAATCCTGGTTTGTCTTTGGTTATTATTATTTTGCATATTATTCCTTTTGTCTGCCTATCGGTATTTTCTAAATAGCCTACAATGTATGGAGAAAGAAAAGCAAATATGTAGGTCTAAAAATTCATAAATCTTTTTTTTAAAAGATTTTATTTATTTGTTTATTTATTTATTTATTTATAAAGATTTATTTATTTATGATAGACATAGAGAGAGAGAGAGAGAGGCAGAGACACAGGAGGAGGGAGAAGCAGGCCTATGCCGGGAGCCCGATGTGGGACTCGATTCCGGGACTCCAGGATCGCGCCCTGGGCCAAAGGCAGACGCTAAACCGCTGAGCCACCCAGGGATCCCCTAAAGATTTTATTTATTTATTCATAGAGATGCAGAGACAGAGAGAGGCAGAGACACACACAGGCAAAGGGAGAAGCAGGCTCCATACAGAGAGCCTGACGTGGGACCCGATCCAGGGTCTCCAGGATCATGCCCTGGGCTGCAGGCAGCGCTAAACCGCTGCGCCACCGGGCCTGCCCAAAATTCATAAATCTTAAGAAAGTCACCATAAGACAGATTCAAATCAGGGATGCTAAAAAATAAATTTCTATAAAAATAAAACTGGAATAAAACACATTTTAAATGCCAGTTTAATATTTATGGCACTTTTATTTCCCAATACTTTTGAGAAGTAGGAAAGGGGACCTTTTAAAGAGAAACTATATTTATACTGCTAAATAATTTGGATTAAATAAAATCATTTTAAAGTGTTAAAACTTAACTCTATGTAAAAGATGCAAATCTCTTCCCTGTCCTGCCTTGGTCTTGCACTGCGACCTGGTAAGAGCTGTGTGCAGTCACCTGCAAACAGGGGATGCTCTTCCTTAGCATGATGTTCTACAAAGTTGATTAAGACAGGTCTTGAAACTCACTTGAGAAAGGCACCCTGTCAATCTCATGGACTTACTGCTTCTTGTGTATTTTTCATTCAAACCTGACAAACTATCATTTCTGCTTTTAAAGTATGCTGAAAACACCAAGATTTAAAGTTTCCGTTTCCTGGGCAGCCTGGGTGGCTCAGCGGTTTAGTGCTACCTTTCCCAGGGCATGAACCTGGCGACCTGGGATCAAGTCCCACGTCAGGCTCCCGGCATGGAGCCTGCTTCTCCCTCTGCCTGTGTCGATGCCGCTCCCTCTCTCTCTCTCTCTCAATCTCTCATTAATAAATAAATAAATACATCTTTAAAAAAAAATAAAATAGTTTCCCTTTCCTTATTTCTCCTTCTAGTCTATTAAGACCAAAAAAAAACAAAAAAAAAAACAAAAAAAAACAAAAAAACAAAAAAAAACCCCAAAACAAAACAAAACAAAACAAAAAAACCAAGACCCAAAACAAAAAACAGTGCTGTCAACTGGAAACTTAGCTTCAAGCTGCTCATTTTAATTAGAATTTGATGGGACAGTTTAGTTTTATAACCTTTTAGCTGAATTCACATCAATCTTCGAGACTATCCCAGGAGCATTTCTTGTTGAAGGACTAACACAAACTCCCCACCTCACAGTGAACCTCCCGGGGACTGGGTTACAGGGAGGATGCAGAGGGCTTCCCACGTTGGCCGCACCGCACAGATCTGACAGGAAGAAAAGAGGGGTGTGCGTGTGTGGAGGAGGAGGGGTCGGGGGAAAGAAGACATGCGCTACCTTCCATTTTGTCTGAAAAAATTGTCTTCAAAATCACGAAGTTTCTTTCGAATCCTTTTCTTTTCTTCTCTCATTTCCTGAAGGTGTTCCAAGAGTTCTGGTCTAAGAAGGGCAGAAAAATTTCAAGAAAATTGGGTTAAATCTGAATGGTTATAAATACAATGAATGTGCAACTCGACAGGGGCTGTGGAGACAGGCAGGAGCATGGACACGCAGGAACCGTTGAGGGAGCCGAGAGCCAGCAGAAATGGATGTTTTCCATTCTCTGAATGCCAAAGGTGCTGGTGACAGGCACAGCTCCGGGGGCTCCCACAAACCCCTGTTACTCAGGAGTCCTTAGGGCTTGTGGACTCCCGGGGCACTTTATCAATTTGCCTTGAAGGAAAGACGACATCTGGTACATGTTAACTGAACTGCAGAGTGCACAACCACACAGCAGTGCCACTGCAGGGACCGGACTCTTCAGGCAGATCTCACAGGTTCCCTCCTATAACATGCACTGGAGAACACCAAGCACTGAGGCAGGAGTTAAAAATAATTCACCGTTCTATCTACACAGAGGTCCCTCAGGTAAGTCACTTGTGTTCTGTCATCTTATTTAAACACAAAGGCTAAAATATTTAAGAACAGCATTTTCACCAAAACATTTCAGCCCCACCGCTGAAGAGACATACATTGAAGCAGCATGGAGATTCGAAAGCCCGGTGTCCTGGCTGCATTTTGACGGTATTTTATCGTCCATCGGGGAAATAAATCCATCAGCATCATCTTCAAATTGGTCCAGGAAGCACCGTGCACTGAAATCAGTCTTCAGAGTGACTGTGAAGTCTGGCTTTGTGTTGCTATCGTCCTCCGAACCCTCGTCTTCTTCCTGGACACGCACAGCAACCCCGATAAAAACCCGGTTACTTTTCCTGGCCCTCTTGCATCATAGGTATCACATAATGGTCACTTAATTATCCAGACACCATATGGCTTCTACTGTATCTACATTTAGCAACACATATGTACATTATCCATATATAGCTGAATATCAACAGGAACACAAATACTAAACACAGCCACTCAGTAGGGGAAAAAACTATAAAAAAATTAGTGTACAACACAATTAACAGTTGTCAAGGCTGAGGGTATGAAGGAGCCACCATTATAATTCATACCTTAAATCAACTGAAACAAAAGAATAAAAAATTTGCCAGCTCTGTGATAATACATCACAAAATCCACCACCAGCCATCAGTGCCTTAGGGATTTCATTAGTTGTGTACCTTGGAAAGCATTTTTTATTAAGCTTTTAACACCTTCAGAAATTGAACAATACAGCCTTTTATTTAAGAGTTGAGATTATATTGGGATCCCTGGGTGGCGCAGCGGTTTAGCGCCTGCCTTTGGCCCAGGGCGCAATCCTGGAGACCCGGGATCGAGTCCCACGTCGGGCTCCCGGTGCATGGAGCCTGCTTCTCCCTCTGCCTGTGTCTCTGTCTCTGTCTCTCTCTCTCTGTGTGACTATCATGAATAAATAAAAAATTAAAAAAGAAAAAAAAGTTCAGATTATAAAATATTTTGTGGTTGCTTGATACACAGAATTTTAAGAAAGTTTTGAGAAGATCAAGACGTTTATGTTCCCATTATTGGAAATGTAACTCTAAGTTTTTTTTTTCAAGGAACTTCCAAGGGCCACTGCTGTATTTTTTAGCCTCCAAGATTTTAAGAAGAGTCTGATATTCTCTGTCTTGGCAATGCAATTAGAAAAACAATGAAATCAGATTAGAGTTTCTTAGTGCTAATTTAAGTCTAAGGATGAAATGGTGTCAGTCTGAATGGAAGATTTTAAAAGAAGTAATGTACTGCCAAAATGTACAGTCAGACTGGATGAGAATATCCTAATATCTGAAAAATTTATCTTTATTTTTATTTTTTTTAAATTTTTATTTATTTATGATAGTCACAGAGAGAGAGAGAGAGAGAGAGAGAGAGAGAGGCAGAAACACAGGCAGAGAGAGAAGCAGGCTCCATGCACTGGGAGCCCGACGTGGGACTCGATCCCAGGTCTCCAGGATTGCGCCCTGGGCCAAAGGCAGGCGCCAAACCACTGCGCCACCTGGGGATCCCTCTGAAAAATTTAAAACGTGGTTAGGAGCTACACAAACAACAGCAAGTAGAATGTCCACTGTTCCTGTTAAACCAAGTGGCTCCAGTGCCAATGCAGCAAATTAATCTCAGGAGGCAGGACTAGTTATCCCTGCTGGTCAAAGTACAGGTATGCAAACTGCCTGTAGTGGATTTTCTTACCAGGAAGTTTGGTATGTTTATAATGGTGCCTCTGAGGAGAAATAATGTGAATTAACAAATGAACAAGCAGGAAAAACAAAACAAAAAAAGGACTATATCAAAACTATGATGAAAGCATTGCTCTCAAGGCACCAAGAGAAAATTGGTAAAAACTAGGCAGCTTTTTCAGATTGTCTCTGCTGTGACTTCAGAAATTCCATCTCTGCTTAGAGTAAATGTCTCATTATTCATTTTTAAAAACTGAAATTTTTAAAGACATTTTTAAATTTAGAAAGTAAAAGTGACTTTTAAATTAGTAATTTAAAAGTTTCTCTTTTGGGCACCTGGGTGGCTTAGCAGTTGAGCGTCTGCCTTTGGCTCAGGGAATGATCCTGGAGCCTCGGGATGGAGTCTCGCATTGGGCTGCTTCTCCCTCTGCCTATGTCTCTACCTCTCTTTTTGTGTCTCTCATGAATAAATAAGTAAAATCTTAAAAAAAAAAAGTTTCTTTTTTTTATACAAGTAACAATTCCCACTTATGTAGTTTTTTTTTTTTTTTACCACTTATGTAGTTTTTAGAAGGATTATTTGAGATAAGCTATGTAACTGACAAGGTACACCTGCCACAGAGGCAGTACACCCCCCCCAACTACCCACTCCCCCACTGAAGACCAGGTGGAACCACTTGATCGTAAACTCCATGGAGGCAGGGATTTGGGCCTGTTTACTGCTGTTCCTAGAGCTTAACCAATGCCTGCACATAGTAGGTGCTTAATTAATATCTGTCAAACAATCTAGTGGTCCAGTTTTATTTATTTTTATTTTTATTTTTTTAATTTTTATTTACTTATGATAGTCAGAGAGAGAGAGAGAGAGAGAGAGAGAGAGAGAGAGGCAGAGACACAGGCAGAGGGAGAAGCAGGCTCCATGCACCGGGAGCCTGACGTGGGATTCAATCCCGGGTCTCCAGGATCGCGCCCTGGGCCAAAGGCAGGCGCTAAACCCCTGCGCCACCCAGGGATCCCCTAGTGGTCCAGTTTTAAAAGAAAAATACAAATTACTAGAAGAGTAATAAAGTCAGGTGTCTAGGCCTAATCAATTATATCCCAAGGTCTTAAGAGAACTTAAAAATGGGGGGATGTGTCTTCCCCACAGTGAGAACTCAATGTATTTAAAGATGAAGCTAAACAAAACTATTCTTAGTAAGCTTAAAAATCATAGGAAAAAATGACAAATTATATCTTTAAATTTAAGACCATCAAGTTGTTGTGGATATTGGGTAGATTCTAGAAGGAATGAATACATAGATAATATGAACAACTGAAAAAGAGTCCATGATCTACAGTGACTAGCGATGTCTCCCTTAAAACAAATTATGAAAACCAACCATTTTTCCTTTTTTGATAGGATTGGCAATAATATTTGGATTTCAATAATGAATGAAGTGAACTGATCTATGAAAGGAAAGCTGATGGGGTGCCTGGTGGCTTAGTCGGTGGAGCATGTGACTCTTGGCCTCTGAGCTGAGTTTAAGCCCCACATTTGGTAGTAGAGATTACTTAAAAATAATTTTTTTCTTCTTTTAAAGAAAGCTGATCGTGAAAATTTGTTCAGAGTGATGATGAAATGATGTGAATCTGGAGGGAAGTCTATAGCAGGTCTTTACCTGACCCAGCCTTACTCAATACTTATCTAATTACTTGAATAAAGACACAAAAGGCATATTCACAAAATGCATAGATAATGCAAAATAGGTAGGGCTATTTGGTATGCTGGAATACAAAATCTAGATTTAATCAATCTCATAAGGCTGGAAAAGTAGTGTGACAAGTAACTAATTGGAAAAATTCAAGGTCCTTCAATTTAGGTTAGAAAAAAAAAAAGCTGGACATAGATGACAAGCAATTCATGGAAAAGGAAGCTAGGGATTGCATAAATCAGCAGAGAGATGGGGCCATGGGCAGTGTTCTCACCTGGGGGTGACTTTGACTCTGGTGGACCTTTGGTAAGGTCCGGAGCCATTTTTGGTTACCACAACTGAGAAGGGGGTGGCTGTAGTGCACTATTGGCATCTTGTGGATGAAGGCCAGCCCCCAACAACAAGCTATACGGCCCAAAATGTCTACAGTGTGGAAGTTGAACGCATGCTGAAAGAGTACAATGAACTCACAATACATAGAGAGTCATGTAGGTATAGACTTGTAGAACAAAGAGCACCGGCCATGCGGTTAAGCTCAGGACTAGTCCTTGGTCCACGGTCTTGCTGGTTAAATCCTATCTCAAATCATGTTGAGTTCTAGGTATCAGTGTATCAGAGGATATAGAGAAACTAGTGTGTATGGAGCAGAACCACGAGGTTGCTGAAAGGTCTGGGACCCATATCACATGAGGAATAGTAAGAAGAACTTGGTAGAAAAAACTTCCACAGGGCAGGTGACTGTAAAGGTATGAAGGGCTTTCAAAGAAGCAGTTATACAATTATGCTCAATCCATGTTGTTCCAGAAGGTGACACTAAGCCCATTTAGTAGAAAGCAATACATCAATAACTATGAATATTTTAATTTTAAGTTAATTTCATACTTATCCAACATATATTCTGAAATTGCATGTTATATAATTATTGTCCTTTAGCATTTTAATAATGATGATAACACTAATAACATAAGTTTTTAGTTACTACTGATGCTTAGCTCATGAGATGAGTGACCTCACTTTTCCATTGCTATAAACTTTTCAAGCTTGAGCACAGAATCACTTCTTTGGGATAGTCTCTCTATTCTGTCAGAGACGTTTTCAAGGAAACTCTATACTGGATAGAAGAACTGACTAGACTATCTCTAGGATTTGGGGGCTGGAAGATGTAGGGGTTCAGAACCTGAGCTGGCTCTATTTCATATATAGCTAGTTTCCTGCTATAAGCACTTAAAACCAGAGGTGGTTTTTAAGGACACTACTTTGATAAAATCTTCTGATCTGCACTGACATCAAATTCTAAATTGTATCAGAATCGCCAAGAATTAGTACAGTCCAAACACATGCTAATAAGCCTGGCCAGTTGGAACAAAATGAACTAAAAGACAACACTATTTACAAAGGCAATGTAAGCATTGCAAAATGTAAGCATTGAAATTCTGACCACTACATGGGCCAGGAGAAGAGCGATGGCCAAAATATACTTGTGAAAAAAATAAACTAAGCCAAATAAGATTTGGAAGAATTTTCTATTTTAAAATGTCTATCATTAATAGGTCTTCCATTAGTTTAATGAAGCAATTATTTGTTAAGTGTTATATTTTGGATGTGTTAAAGAACACACTTTTATGAAGTAACAGTTCTATTGCATGCTTCTAAGAGAAATGCTAATTTTCAATACACACAATTGCCCAAATTTCTTCAATTATGGTGATTTTGTTTCTGTGTGAGATTACCAGCCAGACAAAGTTTGTCTTCTTTCATCAACATCAAGTCTTATTGTAAGAAAATAGCTCCAATTTTAAAAATGTAGCATATTTGCCTAAATGTTATGTTTAGAGCATTTTCATAAAACAAGTTCTATGTAATGTAATATGAATGGTGAGCATAATCATTGGTGAGCATAAATCATTTTAATACTTTAAAATTAGGTATATGAAATATTTAAGGCCCCTAAGAACTAAGGAAAGGAAAAGAATAACTAAGATAGAAGACCGTGTAGCTTTTGGCACCATACCTCAGTCATAATAGTGAGGACCAGGCAGGACAATGGAGCACTTCTCAACTGATGTCCTTTGAGGGAAGGAGGCCCTCATATTCTGTGGTACCATTCCTAACTACAGTAAATAAATGACCACCCCAGGCTTAGACCTTTCACAGAAATATGACAAGTGAAACTCCAATTGCTAAAAAACAATCACTGGTTAAAAAAAAAGTGAATCTGACTTTTCATTTCTAGGGCCCTGTAGAAGGCAGTCCAGCTCATTCAGGTGTCTAGAGACAAGACCATGAAAGAGGCTGATATTGGTCCAGGCCAGTAGGTCTCGACAGAGACACACAAACCTGAGGGCATGGAGTATACTTCCCATTCATAGGAAAAGTGGCTGCTGAGGACCAGGACTGCCTGTATAAAATCCATAATTACTACTGGGGTAAAAACCAGAGTGTAGATTGCAGTGACTGTGGCGATGGTACTCTCTTCTCAGATCAAGAGCAGATTATTAACTTAGTTCTGACAACTAAAGATGCCAGGGGAAAGTCAAAAGGAAGGAGGAGTGGGTGAAACTGCACCAGCAAATCTGGCAAAGACAAGGAAGATACCAGTCTACGAAATGATAGTTTTTTGTTGTGTGCTATCTAGACTGCCTTTGTTAATTTTGGGTTTTCTAGAAACTCAGTAAATAAGATTTTTGTGAAAGTTACTCAAATGAGTTACTGGAAAAAGATTTCTGGAGTACAGAAAATGCATTCCAAACAGAGGAAACTGTAACAAAAATATTGGGAACCCCCTCCCCCCAAATCCCCTCAAAGCAAAATGAAAACAAGACAACAACAAGCAACAAAAAGGCAGGAGAATGAGATGGAACTGTGGAGACCAGCCGGATCCTAGGGTCCATAAGAGAGGACTGTTCTCGCCTGGTTAGGTGCAGCGAGTGGTTTTGAGGGCGCAGCACCAGAAGCCACCCCTCTGCATTCACAGGAGGAGGGGAGGCGGGGAGAGAGCCATGCCCGCTCAGCAGAGGTTAGCAGCGGGAGGACTTCACCTTTATCTCCTTGAAGAAGGAAGCAGTTTCTCCCTCGATGATTGGCTGCAGCAAAGGGCTTCTCCGCTTGCTGGAGGGGGATCCCTGTGACAGGACAGGTCGTTGACAAGAAGGTTCCACTGTGAATCCCTCTCCCTTGGCCTCTGGGCCTCTGCCTCCTCCAGGGCACTAGGATTCATCACTGCCTTTGAACTATATACCCTAACCCTTCCCCACCACATGTTCCCAGGAAAACTAGAGATGACCGAAGTTCTTGTCTGAGATGGTGCTTCAGTCCAGAGCCCACACACCCAAACCAAGGAGGCCTCAGGAGAGCAAGAAGAGCACAGGAGCATGTTAACCAAACGCAGAACAAGCCTGAGGACAGACATTGTCCTGTTCCTCCTCTTTCCTCCCTGAGGAGAGCAGATGTGAGAACTCTGGGAAGCATTAGAAGCTTTAAGTAAAACAACATAAGCTCCTCAGGTGATGCAAACGTTGTACAGCTTCCCTGTTGTACCTTCTCACCCTATCCAGGAACACTCATTTAGGGGTACTCAGGGCTCCTGACTGGAGAATGAAAGGATTCCTGAGATTGAATCCTTTCCTTGGCTAGTTTACTAAGTTATCCTGTGAAAAATTTCTAGAGAAGTAGCTTTCTTCTAATACACCTGCCAAAATCTGGAACCTGCCTTGTTCCTAGCGACAGATACACTGTTAACAGAAATACAAAGATTATATCTTAGAAAGCAACAAGGAGGGGTGCCTGGCTGGCTCAGCTGGTGGAGTTTGAGGCTCTTGATCTCAGGGTTGTGAGTTTGAGCCCCACGTTACGTGCAGAGATTGCTTAAATAGAAAATCTTAAAGGGGCGCCTGGGCGGCTCAGCGCTTTGAGCATCTGCCTTTGGCTTAGGCCGTGATCCCGGGGTCCTGGGATCGAGTTCCACATCAGGCTCCCTGCGGGGATCCTGCTTTTCCCTCTGCCTCTCTGTGTCTCTCATGAATAAATAAAATCTTAAAAAGAAAGAAAGAAAAAGAAAAAGAAGGAAAGAAAGAGAAAGACAGATTGATTTAAAGCAGGAACCAAACAAAGAACAGCAGCTAAGATGACATGCATTTTAACAACAACATAAAAGCAAGGCTGTGTGCGCTTTTTTGAAAGTTGAAAAATCAAGAGAGAAAGCCCCCAGCATTCCCAGAGAGGACAGCCCTGGACCAGAGGCAAAGGATTCCCCAGGAGACAGACAGGGCATTAAGGCTCACTCATAAACTGGGCGGAAAAGTGGGAGACTGGAATACAGGAGATGGGCCAGCTGGCCAGTGCCTGGAGGCAAGCTGAGGGTCCCTACTCTGGACAGAACCAAAATTCAGAGGCCAAAAGCAGTTAGGTGTAAGTCAGAGGATGGTGGCCATTGAGGGCAGCCACACAGTTACTAGCCTCCCTCCCTCTTCTTCTCCTTAGGCTTCTCTATAGCTTCCAAAACCAGGCGGCTCTCTGGAGATCCTTAGAGGACTTCTCCCTGGATATGATTCCTAAGGGGGCCATCCCTCTTTTGGAGGGAGAGAGAAGACTATTACCAGTGGGTCCTTGGGACCAGAGAGGCCTCTGGACTAGAGGGGCTCTGTCCTGCTGGTGTTCTGAGGAAAGGGTGTCAGCTCAGCACAAGGCAGATGGACATACATGTTAAAGCATGTTGCTCAATAGAAAACAAAATTCTAGCAGTTTCAGATTTGCTCATTTTAGACAAATGTAGCCTCAGAAGTCTTTGACAAATTCTTCATTCCCCAAGCTTATGAGGCATAAATATTAATGACAGGTTCGACTATTAAAGAGTACTCTCTAATGAGAAGGCAGGTTGGGGCCCGTTCCACTAGGTAATCAACCACAGAAAGCTGTTGTACTCACAATGATGGGTATGGTGTTGGCTCGGGACAGGATCTGTTTGACGAGCCGGTATCTGTCATATAGCGGTTTCATAACCTGACGTTCATTCTTGGTTACCTGAAAACAAGAGCAACAGAGCTCAAAAGCCTGCCTCTGACAGTTAGGCTATCAGCTGCTCAAGCAACTCCACTTTTGCCATTCTTGCAAAATTTATTTAAACTGATAATAGGGGGATCCCTGGGTGGCTCAGTGGTTTGGTGCCTGCCTTTGGCCCGGGGGATGATCCTGGAGTCCCAGGATCGAGTCCTGTATCGGGCTCCCTGCAGGGAGTCTGCTTCTCCCTCTGCCAGTGTCTCTGCCTCTTTCTCTCTGTGTTTCTCATGAATAAATAAAATCTTAAAAAATAAAATAAACTGATAATAGTAGTCAGTGAATTTTTAAAATATCCACTTACGTGGATATTTTAAAATCTTAGCAGCAGATCTTTGGAAATCACTCCATCAGCAGTATTGCTTTTCCTGAGTCAAAGCTATGACCATTACTGGTTCACTGTGTAAAACTACTCAAAGTTCAGAGCTCCCAGGTGATTTACTGTTTTCCAGATCCAGGGAAGAAGAAAGTATGTATTTCTATGGTAATACTTACTGTGCAGCTCTGTGATCTTTTTTTTTTTTCTCCCCACATGTCTCTCTCCCCTGTGAAATTGTTTTGTTTTTTAGGACAAGATTCTGGCAAACTGTAGGTATTCAAGAAACATCTGCTGCTAGACTACATGGATGGACTCATCTCCAGTGCCCTAAAATGTGGCAGAGTGCTCACAGATGTTTAAATGACTGTCTCGGGATCCCTGGGTGGCTCAGCAGTTTGGCGCCTGCCTTTGGCCCAGGGTGGGATCCTGGAGTCCCGGGATCGAGTCCCAGATCGGGCTCCCGGCATGGAGCCTGCTTCTCCTTCTGCCTGCGTCTCTGCCTCTCTCTCTCTCTCTCTCTCTCTCTGTGTCTATCATGAATAAATAAATAAAATCTTAAAAAAAATAAATAAAGGACTGTCTCTACAGGCAGTGGGGGAATAATCAGGCCCAACTCTCTGATAATGTTCTAGAAGCCCTTCATCATCTGCTGCTTCTCCTCCTTCCTGTCATATCTCAAGCTCCAGAGATAAACTAAGTTGTGTTTTACCTCTTTGTCTAGTTCTGTATGCCCTCAAATGGCCAATGGCCTCCTCTCTTCTCCATGGTTTGGCAGATTCCAGATCAAGAGCCACCTCCCCTGTGCAGCCTTCTTCCAACATCCCCCATTCTGAGAGACCCGCTCACGCACCTTTACCTACTGCAACCTGTGTATACTTTGTAACTTCACACATGGTTTGCTATTAACTGAATGTGCGTACCTCAAATTTTGAAACCTAGTCTCCTGTGTGATGGTATTAGGCAGTCGGGGATTTTGGAGGTGATTATGTCATGAGCCCTGATGAATGGGATTAGGGCCCTCATATAAGAGACCCCAAAGAGCTCTCTGGCCTCTTCCGCCATGTGAGGACAGTAAGAAAATGGCTGTCTGTGAACCAGGAAAGAGCCCTCACCAGACACCAAATCTATCATTGCCTTGATCTTGGGCTTTGAGCCTCCCGAACTAAAATAGAAATAAATTTCTGTTGTTTAGAAGGTACTTGTCTACAGTATTTTTTTATAGCAGCCCCAGTAGAAGACACATTTTATACTCTATAATAACTATCTGTTGGCACACCTGTCTCCTCTTAAAGACTGTAAGCCTCTTGAGACCAGGAGTATATGTTTTTGTATCCCTGGAAACTGTTTTCAGTGCCTATATAATGGAAATTTTCCACAAGTATCTGTAAAATGATAGAATATTTCAAACACAAATACATATGCAAAGTTTATAGGTATGCATGCATTTCCCCTTTTTACTTAAATGCCAAAAGAGATGAAGTATCTTTGTTTCAAGTTTGTGGTTTGTCTTTTGCACTTTATTTCTACCACGCACATAAGGCAAGAGTTACAGAGGTAAGGAAGGGCAAATAGGATTAGGGACCTTTTGGGCCTTCAGCTTTGAAGACAACTTTAGACCGTGCATGAATGGATTATTCCTTTGTAACCTTTTATGTTTGCTTTTCTCAAAGTGATCAATAAGGGATCTTTGGACAAACTTCATATGCCAGGATAGGATACTGCCACTACACAGAAACATCTTGTGGACTTCTTTTCTGTGAACAGCAATAATAATAATCTTTTCTATTTCTTCCTAAGTTCACAATATTGAAAGGCAGATGGTATTTTCCTATCTCTAGCTATCAAATCAAAAGGAGTTTTAAAATTGGTATTTCATAGAAGATGACCATCCATAATGAAAAGGAACACAGAAATTATGTTACAGAAAGACTGAGGATAAAACCATAGGTGTTACTACTAGACACGCCTACCATAATGGCCAACAGAAGACAACAGATTGTGTCAAGTGTCAGCAAGAATGCTGAAGAACTGGAACTCTCTTTCACTGCTTCTAAGAGTGGAACACTCTGGACAACTATTTGGTAGTGTCTACTAAAGCTGAACATGTGAGCCCTCAGTTCTACTCTTAAGTATTAAAAAAAATTGTGGCCTTAAGCTTACCAAAAGACACACAGAATAATGTTCACAGCAGCACTACTTATAATAACCCCAAAGTGGAAACCATCCATATGCCCAGCAACAGAATGGATATGCTCCCCAAACTGAATACTGCATGGCAACGAGGATGAATGGGCCACAGCTATAGGCAACATCATAAATTAATCTTACAAAAAGAAAGCCAAGTAAAAATAAGCCAGACACTAAAGAATATATAATGTAAAATTTCACTTTTGTCAGTTCAGAAATAAGCCAATAGGATTTACAGCTTTAGAAGTCAAGGTAATGGTTTTCCTTCGTGGAGTGGAGGTCGTGGTATTGACTGGAAGGGGACAGGAGCAGGAAGGAGCAATCCTTCCTTCTGGAGGATTGGCAACATTTGTTTCTTGTCTTGATGCTGGCTACCTGGACTAGTTTACTTTGTAAAAATGCATCAAGGCACATATTTATACTGGGGACTCCTTTCTGTATGTTATACTTCAACAAGACTTTAACGACAGCCACAGAAAAGTCTAAGGATAGAAATGGAGTGACTTGTACAATCTCATATGTAAAATGACAAAATTTAGGACTGGAACACATGGGATAACTTTTTAAATACAAGATGTATCTGGTAAATGTGTTCCAGATGAGGTTAAGGCACATTCTAATTGTCAACATATGACATGTGGTGAAATATTATTATGCAAGATAAACAATTCATAGTTTAGTGACCAAAAGACATACTAAAAATAAAAATAATAAGAAGCTAGTATTTCCCCATTGTGGACTCACATCCTATTACTTGTTGCTTGGCAGAAATATTTTTGGACTGTAGAACGAAAGTCTGGATTTTAGAAGGAGAGGTAAAACCAGCCAGAAATGGCAAATTTGACAGAAACCAATTTCCTCTCTAATTCTTTTTTCAAATTTTCTAGTTGGAGCAGATGAAGAGGATCACTGGCTTAATTTTTTATTTATGATACTGATATTTAGATTTTTCTATGAGCTGCTCATGTTTTAAATTGATGACCTTCAGGAACTAATCACCTGTGATTGATCTGATAAAGCCCAGTTTCTGACTATGTGGAGTTAAACCCATTATAATTCCACCAAAGTTAACACTGGCATTTGATAGAAGTGTCTAAACACCAGAAATATTAAAGATCTGTAAGTCTGAGGGGTAGAAAGAATTAATACTACTTGATTTACACCAGGATTAGTTTCATGATATATATCTGAAACCAAAGGCTTGGTGATATTAAAAGTTAATACAACTTTCACTCATCAGAAAGCCACATCACATGCAATGATCAGAACTGGATTTGTTAGTAGAGCCAAAATCTAACCAACAGTTCCATAAACAAAGCGAAGCCTTGGCTGAATTGTTACAAAAGGGTCAACTGATATTAAATGGGCCATGGGAAAATTGTTTGGAAGTTGATGTCTTTTATTCTTGAGTCATCGGCTGCTCGGAGATTCTGTTATTGATTGAAAACTGGCCTTTGAATGAGCCAGTTTGCTGGTTTGGAAAGCCTTGGTTTCCTGATTGGAAACAGCAGAATCCAGATTAGAAAATCTTTATGATCTATAGTTGCTTGGAAATGACTTTAGGCCAAGCATGTAATAGTCACTGGATTCTTTTTTTTTTTTTTTGAAAGATTTTATTTATTCATTCATGAGAGACACAGAGAGAGGGAGAGAGAGGCAGAGACACAGGCAGAGGCAGAAGCAGGCTCCATGCAGGGAGCCCGACATGGGACTTGATCCCAGGACTCCAGGATCACACCCTGGGCCAAAGGCAGGCGCTAAACCGCTGAGCCATCCAGGGATCCCCCTGGATTCTCCCCCGCCCCCCGGATTCTCTATTATACTTTCACTTCTCTTGCCTCAAACCTTCATTAAACTTTCATTTAGGTGGTATCTCTGGATGGCTTTCCAGTGTGTGGGAAAGATGTATTTTTGCACACAAATCAGGACAATATAAAAACCTAGATGGAAAACTAAGGCAGCAGCACCTCCCATTCTGTCTTTGCTCTTCTTAAAAAGATTTTATTTAATTAATTAATTTATTTATTGCACATGAAGCAGGGGGAGGGGAAGAAGGTGAAGGAAAGAGAATCTCAAGCAGACTGTGCTGAGCATGGGGCCTGACGTGGGCTTCTCATGACCCTGAGATTACAACCTGAGCCAAAATTTAGAGTCAGATGCTTAAATGACTGAGCCATCCCGATGCTGGGGCCTTTGTTTTTGATTAAAAGAAATCTTCATCTGTTGATCTCTTACTACTGCTTTTGGTTGCTCTATAAGGTTTCAGATAATATTTCCAGGTACCAAGGGAACACTAGCCAATAATTAATCCACATTTAAATAGAGGAAAAGTCTTGGACCAAAATTACAGAGGCCCAATTAGACAGCTGCATTTGCCTGCCTTTGCCTTTTATGACACTTCTTGTCTTTGCCTCAAATAAAACTTCCTTACAGAAACACCCATTTGGGCTCTGTCACCTGGACAGTGCCACACAGGTGAAAGAGGAAATGACTGATGCTTTTAATGTGAAGATAAAGATAGAATTAGGACCCTGGAATATCATGGCTAGAAGAGCCTTCTATTTTCATACAATGAAACTCAGCATTGGAAAGGGCAATGATTTGCCCAAGGCAAGATTTGGGTCAAGAACCCAGGTTCACTGACTCGCAGTTCAGTTTTCTTTCCATTCACAAATAAGACATGAAGTAAAGTAGGATCTTAACCCAGTGAAGACACACTAAAAATGTCACATTGAAGCATTTTCCTCTAATAGGGTTTGACCAAGTTGTCTTCACATAAAGAATTCTGCCTTCCAAGGTCAGAGCCCTGCCTATGTTGAGTTCACAAGACCTCTAGCTATGAGCAGTAGCAAGGAAGCACCGCTTTGTGAGAAATTATGCCACAGACAAGAAACTATACAGCCTCAGAATCTTCTTAGTAAAATACGTGGTTTGAGTTTGTGTGTGCAAGGGTACCTCTGCGTCATAAAACTACTAATAGGAGAAGATAAATGAGATGGATTCTTTTAACTATTGCATCTTGACCCATCGACTCAGAAAGACGTAACTCTCCTTATTACTGGATAAAAATAGCAGACTCAGCAAAGATCAGATAATCCCAAATAGCAGATAGCCAAAGGGCAGTATTTACATATGACTTCTGAATTTGTGTTTAAATTTGAACCAAGTGTGTCTACTGTCATGTTAGTTTCCAAGGTATTAAAACATAACATTAAAATATACTGATGAGGAAGAGACTCAAGAAGAAACCAGAAGCTCTTGCAAACAACCCATTCCTTTCCCTAAACGTCATCATCAAGGAGTGGTCTTGTAAAGAAGGTAATACGGTTACCTGCAGTTATGTGTTGTATTTTCTGTGACATGGTCTTTTGATGAGATCCTTAAATGCTGAAAGGACATGCTTTCATAATTAGTAGGGATTTATGTGCCACTGTGTAAATGAGTGTGTTTCTGTTTTTCCAAACATGTGTCAATCTGTAGAGTGCACTGTTAAAGCAAACAACCGTGTTTAAAAAATGTACAAGGGCAGCAGACAACTGTTTTGGCCTGTGATTCTGACAATTATTCATTGTCCTTTCAAATCAGAATCTGTAGACTCAGCAAAAACCCATGAGCTTTGAGCACCTGCTTCTCAAAAACAAAACAAAACAAAACAAAAAACCCAAACTGAAAACCAAAACAAACAAAAAAACCCCTGGGGTTTGGAATGATAGTTTAGCTCTGGAAATACATGTATTTTTCTTTTGAGAAGAGTGTTGCTCAAATGGTATTTACAGTTCAGGGTCCATGGCAATACTGCGGACCTAAGAATGAAAAGTTCACTCTGATTTTCACACTGGCCACATAGCAAATGAACTCTGCTTTTCCTGAGGATGGAGTATTCATGTTCCAGAGAGAGAGAGGCAGAGAGTCTGACCACAAACCAGCAAAAATGCCATTCAAACTTCTACAGCACTTGTTCCCTGCCCGATGAGATGCTAGAATCCAGACTCAAAAAGGTGTTCTTCCAATATCTGAAAGAACAATGAAACAAGGAAGCAATACAGCAGGGCCAAGAACTAAGATTTCATATTCCTAATGATGCGCATTCTTTCTCCTGATTCCATCACTTAATAAGTAGGCTGCGGCTAGCAGAACATATACCTGTAGCAGAAGTGAAAACATCATTAAAAAAAAAAAAAAAAAAAAAAAGAAGTGAAAACCTCATGGACTGGGCACCCTCCCGAACCACTTGCCAAGAACCCCAGCCCACTTCCTCAGTGCAGACAGCCTACAGGTAAATGTGCCTGCATGTGTCCATGCCATCAGTTAGTCTCCATGACAACCTAGAACAGCCAGCTACGGTATAGACAGAGCTCTGCTCTTACCTCAGTAGCCCAAAGCTCCAGAGCTGGTCTCAGTAGGGCTGGGATCTGAATCTAGGTCTGCTGATCCCCGTCCCTGCACATCATCTCAGCCCAGGCAGAATGAGAGGATGTGTGTCCAACTCTGAGCAACAAACACCAAGCATACAAGCCCCCGAACTGGCCATAAAGGTTGGGACTAGAAAGCAGTGGAGAGATCTCGGGGACTCTGGCAAAGAAATCTGTAAAGGAGTCTGTCAATGTCATCTGTGAACCTACGTGATGAAAAGAAGAAATGCTGGAGAAGGAAGGCATGCAAGTCCTGCCCTTCTTCCCCACCTGCCTGGTGGCCACCGGGAGATCTATACTTAGAAGGTTCTGAGCCTCTAGTGAAGAAGGGGCCTCTCTCTGCTACAGGGTTCAGTTCTACTTCTCCAAGTTCTGAATACTCCAAGAGAAAAGGACAAGTTGCACAATATATTTGAGCTCCAGTGCATTTACTGTTTGATTCAATGCCTTTAAAAAGTCCAAAACAAAACTTGGCTTGAAACATGACCATTATCCCAGAGCACCAGTATTTTTCCGCTGTAGGGACAGGTCAGTAAAATCAATCAGCAGAAGCTCCAGCTTTTTTTTTTTTTTTTAATTTAAACCTGATAAATTCAGAACTGAAATACCATGGAGGATGCATTCTCCAAACAGTTTCTTGGGCACAGGGTATGTGTCAGGTCTTTGTGCTAGATGCTAAGGATCAAGTGCACTGTTAGGTGAACAAAACCCAGAATTCCTGACTTCACAGATCCTTGAGTCTAGTGCATTATTCTGGAAACTTCTTTATTCAAAAAAGTAAATTTTACATGAAAATATTATCTCCATTATATAGCCATGGCTGTGACTGGAAAAGAGACCGATGCATTTTGGCTGTATAAAAATCCTTCTGTGAGTATAAACCTCATGCTTCTTTATATCTGCTCTTGAGAACTTGTTTTGTTGGGTTCTCGACAACACTCTCAATACGTCACGAAGGGTAACTGACAAGGATATCTGCTCACGAGTTTCTTAAGGAATAGAGCAGAAGACTATCGTTCCACTGTCTCCTGCAGGACTAATGACAAACACGCAATAACCATGCTTGCTGAATAAGAAATTGCTTTAAATGCTTTCTATTGCTATGAAAAGGCAAAGTCATATTTTGGACTCCTCACACTTTTGGTTCAGGATAATGGCTGGATTTTCTCTACAGATAAACATCAGCCACAGACACACTGAAGAGAGATTAAATTTTAGGGGATATCATACTAGTTTAACACCTTCATTTTATGGGTTAGAATGCCTTGGAGTCAGTGACAGCTTATGGGGACAGACCTAGGGATAGGGAATTCTCTAGGGCTTTGTGCACTCACCTATAATCTATGTTTCCTCCACCACTGTCCCCCTGAAGCAGAACACTAGTGACTAAATGTTAGCTGCAAACGAATTTTTCTTTGGAACTCAGATTCAGTATGTTCTTGACAGTGGAAGTCACTCATCAGTTTAGCCTTCAGGAAGCTTAGGTCTGCTGAAAATACGTGGTCATCTCCTAAACACTAGGAAAACTCTTGTGTCAAATACTGAACACAGAAGATTCATGTCTAAAGCCAAATAGTTTACCCCAATCAGAAAATTCATTAGTACATTTACATACCGGCCGCCCATGAATGCTTTCATAATATAACAGAGCTTTCTGCAGAGCCACTTTCTCGTTAGCAATTTGGTCTTTGGTCATATCCTGAATAAACAAAAGGAGAGAGAAATGAAAGAAAGGGAAACATTTATGCACCTTACTACCTATTTATGTAAACAAATTTCTAAAGTAAAGTTAAAAAGAATCCTCCTACAATAGCTCCTCTGAGCTCTATTCAAAGCTCACTTAGGAAGCTCTTCCTGACTTTTTGCTGGGAATACAGACAATACAGCAGAGTCATGATCAACTACTTGTATCTCCCACATGGCAGCAAAGGCATGTTGAGGTAAGCAAGGCTGCAAGGCACATGGGGCTTAGCTTAATGGCCCAAGCGATGACTACAATAACAAATTACACAGTCCCAAAGGTTGGTCTACAATCCTTTTACTCTAGAGTCATCAAACCCTCTGTTAAGCTGAATGAGTTTTCTGTGATCTGTATGTTAGAGTGTTCTGCTTTCAATGTGTAGTCATAAACCAAAGTACTAGCAGTGAAAACACTCTCAAACTATTCCATCTGCTTCTCTAGACATCTAAAAGTGTGGGAAATGAGGGCGTGAGAGGTCTGAGAAGGCTTCGCTGCATCCCTCTTCCTACGGGACCCATGTGGCAGTCCCTATTTCCACCGTGTTGGCTGGAGTAGTTTAGGACAAGCAATTGGCTTGGGGCCTCCACTGAATCTCCACACCTTAATGTCCTCAGGACGGCTGCTTTCTGTCCGCTTCTCCTGGAGCTTCCTCTGGATGGATTCCAGCGTGGCTTCGACACTAGGCTTTACTGCTTTATCTATGAGCTCTTGCTTCTTCTCATCTTCTTTCTCAAGCTGGGAACCGAAACTCTTGGGGAGCGTGTTGCTTCGCTGCCGCATCCTGGGGGTTAGATCCTCTTCAGATATCTTCAGTTTGGACTCTAGTTGAAAACATTTAGGGGTGGTGACATATGAGAATCAATGTCTGCTGAACATTAATTGTTTCTCTGTGGTGTTAATAACTGTTTAGTCTCATCTTTTTTCAGAAAGTATCTAATTATAACAGTAGTTGAAATCCCTGGGTTATTATGCAAAACCTGAGAAAATGCTAACATCTTGGATTATCTGGAATGTTTCCCTAACCCAAATTCCTGAGAAAGCTTTAGTTATGTAACATCTATGCTTTAGCCACACCAACAGGCTTGCTGTTCTCAGAATGTGGCAGATGTCGCCTATATTCACTCCCTTACTGTTTAACAGCATTGACTGATCCAGCACCCAACTGCTGGCCAACTTTTTATGGATAACTTACATACCTTATTTTGGAATTATTTTCCTTTGTATTCTCTTTGCTTGTTTTTATGACTATCTCCTAGAAGACAGCATGTTTTTGAGGGACCAACGACCCAATCCTTTTCATATTCCTCTGTGCTTACAGGTCTTCTCTTAACACCACAGCAAATAAAACCCTGGTACTTAATAGGATTTGTATTGAAATCATCCTTCAATTCATGACTTCGGGAACTGGGGAAATGATGCAGTGTTTGTATCTTAGCTGATCTGGGTTGTCCGTGATGGAGACCATGGTGAAATATGGGGAAGGTGTCCTTTGAAAAATTTCAGCAGTGGCACTCAGGATGTGGTGAGATCATGAATTGAAGGTGGCTTGTCTTTCAGAAATCATGGCATAGGTCTAGAACTCTACCTACCTTTAAGCTGCTTCCGGAATTTGGCAAGGTCATTTGTCCATTTTAGAACCTCAGGATTGGCTGCTTTGTCACTATGGGAAGGCTAAGAAAAGGAAAATCAAATGTAAATATTTTTGAACTGCGGCACGAGAAGAGTTTGATGATCAGTTTGTTTTATTTTTTTAAAAAATTTTAAAAGATTTTATTTATTTATTTGAGAGAGAGCAAGCACACAGCAGAGTGGGGAGGGACAGAGGGAAAAGCAGGATCCCTACCAAGCAGGGAACCTGATGCGGAATTCGATCTCAGGACCGCAGGATCATGATGTTTAACTGCATGAGGCACCTAGGCGCCCCATGATCAGTTTGTTTTAAAGAGGAAGAGAAAGTTGAATGCCACCGGAAAAAGAAATTCATCATGAACAATCAGAACAAACGTCATAGGTGTAATTCTATTATTCCTCTTTACATATGGTTATTTTTGATGCTTCCAAAGAATTCCTCACAGGCAAAATGCTGGACTTCTCTGAAGTCCTTTTTCATGAGTTGTAGTAGGGTTTAAGGTGTCAGGCTAACAGAATGGAAAGGAGAGGGAATTTCCATGCAAAATGCCTTTCTGCCACTCTTGTGGGCAATGCTAACATGGAGCTGAGAGTAGAATGAGGTCAGTACTAATAAAATTTTAGAAGATAATCTTGAATTAAGTTTTAGCTGAAATAAAGAAACATTTAATGATTTTTCCCATTCCTTCTCATGGATAAGTTTATGAGATGTGAACTAAAATATTCAATTATCTGTAAGAATACGCTGTGCAAGGAAAATGCTGATACATGATTTCTGGGGCTTCTCAGGGCTTATCCCCAGTTTTTATTGTCTTTTTGTTTCACAGATTCCTAGAAATATCCCTTAACTTTCTATCACTTTTCCGAGTTGCTGATATGCTGGCATGTTGGTGGATCAGGGGACAGGTGGGGACAGGAAAAGCCCTGTGAGGAAACACTTACTCTGTACTTCCTCTCTTCTTCAAATCTATCTTCAAACTTTCGGATCTTCTTTTTAAGGCTCTGAATCCTTCGTGTGAGCTGGGCAGGTGTCAGGTCCTCCTGCTCGTCATCATAGGACCCGAGAGAGGAGCTCCGGCGCCTGTGAGGGGCACAGGGTAGGACACTCACTGCCTGCCAAGGCGCATGGAGTGGGGTCATGGCACGGAGGGAGGGAGGGGGAGGCTCCAAACAGCCGCATCCTCTTGAATAAAAGAAAGCTGACTACCAATTCATTTCGTGACCCTGAGCTCTATATGTCCCACCTATGAAACACATCTAACTTTCTCTCGCTCACATTTACATTTAGCAAAGGTAGGATTGAGATACACCTTGCGGACCAGAGGGTTAAATTTTAGATAGCTCTGCAAAGGATGTGCTAATGGAAAATCAGTCTGTGGTGATGTAGTTGGGCCAATTGAAAAATTACAAAGAGCCTGTGTATTAGGATGGAGTGTTCCCAATATGCTCCTTCACAGACTTACAATGTAATTAAAAAGAATTACTAGCCTTCAACACCATTCCTATTCTTTCTAATGTTATGGCAATGATGTAGTCATTGCGTATCAGTGACACAAACTTACCTCATGAAAGAATGGGAATTTGGGGGAGAAGGAGGCACTTCCGTGTCATCCAGGTATTGCCTACTCTGCCCATAAGCATAGAACCGAGGAGAGAGCATAGGGTCACTGTCTTCATCCAGAAGCTGGCGAATCAGGCGTCCAGCCTGTGGGGAGAGGCGTGCTTCATCAGAGTCCACACTCTCCTGCTGCCATGAGAAGGTAGGGACAGGGTCTGGAAGAATAAGGAGGGTGAGAAGTCAAAATTGCTCAGGAAAGCATAATTGTTTCCTAAGTTTACTGAATGGTTTTGGAGGCACTGAATGACCTCCTATTTCAGATTTAAGGTTCAGATGAAGGACACTACGCCCCGACTAGAATCATCAATATATCTGACAGCCATCATCTACTTCCTAGTTCTGTCCTCACTTGCTTTCAAAAGATTTACTAGGGCTGTCTGGAGGAATGGCTGTAAGGAAGGAGAGCAAACAAACAGTGTATGCTTCCAGCCTCCCCCAAAGATCAGGGACAAGAAGTTTTCCATGTGAGGGCATTATGAAGAGGAAAAGCAAGTGTGTCATGGAGACAGAGACTTGGCATCATGGCTCTACATCCTTCACTGAAACGACCAGGGAGTCACATTTGTCTTGTGAGAGCTCATTTACCTAGGAGTTGCACCTTCCACTTTGGGTCTTTCAGTAAGCTGTTCATGTGCTTCTGCTTAGTGTTGGGATTAGTGTGTTTAAAATGGATGTTTTGCACTTGAAATTTCAGAAGCTGCTCAAGACTACAGTTAACGTAAGATGCTTACATAAATTAGTCAAAAACAAGAAGAAAAAGAAGAATGACTTTCTAAGGGAAAATCTGTACAAATTATTTTAGCTAGTCTTTAAGAAAAAGACACACTCAACACAACATCCTGGGAATATGGCTATATTTATTTCTCTTTCCTTTTAATACCCACCTCAATATATTCCTTTCCTCGTTAAAAAAAAATCCTATCAGGTTTTAAAGATAAATTTCAGATGATATAAGGTATTTCATTTGTAGAACTCCCTGCATTAAAAAAAGTTATGTTTTAAGTATACTTATGGATTACTGTGATTTACACAAGGCTAGGATTTGGGCATGCTCTGAAATTCTGGGATTCCTAGAGCTTGAATCATACAACATTTGTTCCTTTAGCTATCAAAGTGTTTATCAAATCTACAAAATTATCTTAAACAAGTGCTTAATTAGTATTTTATTTAAATAGATCATATCATAATCATAAAATGTTAGAGCTGGTTGAAACTTCATATATTGTCTAATTTAGAGATTTCTCAACCCCGCTGCATGTTAGCATCACAAAGGGAGATATACATAACTTCTATTGCACAGGTTATCACAGCACCCTACTAAACAGAATATTTACATGAGGACCCAAATACCAGTCTCCCCCTCCACCTCCCCGGCCCACACTTACTTTAAAAGCTGCCCAAGTAATCCTAAACACATTCAGGTTTCAGAACCATGGATTCAATCCAACAGATCACAGACAAAGAAATTGAAACCCAAAGAATTTAAGAGCAAATATCTAATCAATGACAAGATTTGGGACTAAAACTAAATCTTCTCACTTGAAGGATAGTGCTTCAATATAGTATGTGCCAGATGCTCTAATAACAAGGATGACATCTGAAATTTTTGAAGATCCCACAATAGGAGAGATCATATTAATGTAAAACATTAACCTCCTATGGTATGAGGCCCATAGGTTCTCAAAATTTAAAGAGAATGAAGCTATCTGGGAACTCAGATGGTAATATAAAAAAAAATTTTTTTTAAATCAAAGCATCTGCAAGTCCCAAAAAGTGGCAGGGAACATGTTGGTAGGAATATTTGGCTAAAGCTAGAGGTGATCAGGAGCTGTCCCTTCATTTGCACTAAAGCTTGCAGCAGGCTCCTCCTAAGTGTAGGGCTCAGATATGAGCAGCTCCAAACTAATGGCATAAAAGAGCAAGAAATCGATGAGAGGTGAGGGAAGGAGAGGGTAAGAAGAAAGTAATCCCTAGAGAAAGAAGAAAGATGTAGTGTTATGTTACAGAAAATGGAACTATTAAACCGGCCATAATGTGCCTACCATTTCATGATATTTCCTAAGACAGCAGGGATTTTTTTAAGGGCTCCTATCAGGGCAGGAAAGGGTTAAGATGGTTTGACCAGTGATGTAGCAGGCAGTAACCTCACTGCAGAGTGGCAAAGGAGCAAAACAAGCAAGGGAAGGCCAAGGTGGTGTGCCGGGGACAGAGGGCACGGGCAAAGTAAAGTCTGATGTTGATATTGGCATATGAGTGCGCAGGCTAGTTTGATGTTTCTACTCCTCACAGTTTCATTTGAAAAGGTGTTACCTTAGATCCTGAAATCCCTTAATTTGTCTGAACCTAGCAGAATATCTCTTTAGAAATATTACAACTAATCTTTCAATTTTTGACTTTGTAGTCTCTGTGTACCAAATGAAGACTGTCTGTGACCATTATCCAAACATGCCTCTGGTAAAAAATATACTGTGATTCTGAATTAACTAAAAGTACTAATCATGGAACTGAATCATGCTTGTTTGATGCTTTGTGGAGCCACTCATCAGATTTCCTTTGTGTTAACATAGACCCATTCCTGATCACTCACTTCACTGATAATAAGACCCACTGTGTCCTTTTCCTAATGTCACCAGTGGTATATCTGAAATACACAACTGAAGCCATTCTAGCTTAAGGGTGGCATTTTCTCTTAAAGGATATAGTTAGCATAAATGAAGTCACTAAAAAATGACAAATGTAAAGCCATTATGAATTTCAATTAACAAAATAAAAGGTTACATTGCATCATTAGTATGCATACAGAAGTGAAGTTTCTCACCCATGCAACATGAAATGCCTGCATTTCTCTCTCCTTTCTCTCTCTCTCTCTGCCTTTTTGGTTTCCATGGATTTATTTATTTACTTTTTAAAATTGAAGTACAATTATCATATAGGATTATATTAGTTTCAGGTGTATAATAGTTGACAATCCTATGCATTACTCAGTGCTCATCAAGATAAGTGCACTCTTAGTCCTCTTCATCTATTTCACCCAACCCCTCCTTCCCCTCTGGCAATCACCAGTTTGTATATTAAAGTCCATTTTTTTTTGCCCTTTTCCCCCTTGTTCATTTGTTTTGTTTCTTAAATTCCACATGAGTAAGATCATATGGTATCTGTCTTTCTCAGTCTTACTTATTTCACTTAGCCTCATACCCTGTAGGCCAATCCATGTTGTTGCAAATGGCAAGATCTCACTGTTTCCTTTTTTTCTACAGAATTATAATTGAAGGCTCTTATAATAATTTATAAAATTACACATAATATATAGTTCAATAGGACTAGCTCAATAAAATTCTTCTGTTTTAGTTTGAAATGATCTGAAAATCCAGGGCCTACTCATGTTTTGATAATTGATACTTAACTAGACAAAGAAGAACCAAATAAAAACAGTATAGTACAGGACAGTATGTCCAAATGCATTTCCTGCCCTACAGATTCAGTTTTGAGGATGTGTTAATTGACCAATCCCAGTTCCTATTTTGGGAAGTAGTTTTTTTTTTTTTTTTTTTTAATTCATAGACACAGAGAGAGAGAGAGAGAGAGGCAGAGACACAGGCAGAGGGAGAAGCAGGCTCCATGCAGGGAGCCTGATGTGGGACTCGATCCCGGGTCTCCAGGATCACACCCCAGTCTGTAGGCGGCGCCAGACCGTTGCAGCCACCAGGGCTGCCCAAGTAGTTTATGTTTTAATCAGTAATTCTAGAGCAATGAAATGGACAAAAATATTGCAAGACAATTATTCAAAGGGAAAATAGAAATGAATATGAGGTTTCAGATTAAATTTTCATCTGAAAGCACCACATAAAAGAAATAGTGATTTTAGCCATGTGTCTTGTCAGAGAGAACTCTGGACATAAATATGGCATGTTTCTCTATGAAAAATTAATCCACCAGGATAGCTGACACCACAGCAGGTCAGAAGTAATAGAGATAAAAGATGTATTCATGCTACCTAAGTAATTAAAAAGAGTAAGTCCTGGGGGAGTTCCATATCAGATACTACCATACACATGGAAATAAAGGAAATTCACTGCAGGAAGAAGAAACATTGTTCTGAGTAATATTAATGTGATCATTGGAATATAGTGCCTCTCTGCCTAGCCAGCTAGATCCACTTGTCATACAAAAGAAAATTGGCTATGAAGATGATTTAAGAAATTTGCCAGAATTAAGGGAGCTGATGTTTTCCACATCTCGTTTCCCACTATATGCTATGTAGAGTCATTACTACCTGGCATGACGTCATACCGACTTTCAAGGTGGCTCCTCAGTGGTACAAGGAGGTATGGGCACATCATGGACACAGGAAGACATAAACCCCACCCAGGAGAGAAATCCTATTAGAAAAATGTCTTCAGTGTTCCAAATCTTAACCATAGGACTGTGGTAGTCCTATTAAATTGTTCAAATAACCTTGCAACTATCAGAGTTAAAAGGAATCTTAGTAGTAGGCTTTGTCAATCCCAATTTAACCCTTAAATTTCATATATTTGCTTTGACTTTATTTGCAAATTATTAAGTAGTCCCTCAATTGGTACATTTAAGTCATTAATAAGATGTGTGGAATGGGTTAGAGCTGAGAACTTTCCTAATGAAAATACCCCCATTTGTGTCAACTTTGATCCAACTATCTGCACATTTAAGCAGTGTTGCTTAATCAGTTACTAATTCACTCTACTACCTGACTGTCTTCTACTCCTTCCACATCTGACAGGGCACTGGAGTCCCTGTTCAAGGCCCAGCAGGGGTCTTTTTAAACACGACATTTCTGAGTCCAGAGTCACACACATGTACACACAAGGAGATTGATTTGGTATAATTTGTCCTTGGTCATCACTGGAGGATCCAGTAATTACTGACTCCTCTGTGTTCAGAGCCACCCACTGTCATTAGGTAAAAGTGGGCTCTGGTTTCAAAGAAGTCAGACTCAGGCTGGTTTCTCCTGAAACTATACTTGGAAACATTTATGAAAGATAGTAATAACATCAACCAACACTCACATATAGTGCCTGTTAGGTGCCTGTACTGTGACAAGCACTTTGCAAATATTAGCTCATTTAATCCTTGCACCAAATTTACTAAATGAATACTACTACATCTGTTACTCATTATTATTTGTTGTTTCACGTATTTAAAGATGGAGAAATTGAGGCCGAAACTGTAACACATTTACTAACTTGTCCACAAAGCTGCTAAAGTAGTAGAGGCAGGATTTGAACCCAGGGCATGCCTGGTCTTAGCCATTATGGCCCACTGCCTGCCACAATACAGAATTGGCATTGCTGAAAAAGAGGCATCAGAGAGGAAGTCAGGACATTTTGTTACCTTGAATCATCATTTTGCTTCTTTTGGTCTCAGCTTTCTTATCTGTATGATGGGAGTGTCCGGTAAAAAGATCTTTAAGATCCCTTGCTTCTGCATTCTTTTAGAGAATTTTCTTCCCAAAGGTTTTTTTTTTTTTTTGACAAGTAGTAAACAATAAGAAATATGAAGTATTTTATGCCCTTTAAAAATGTTCTTTTAAACTTAACTTCACTGGGACAAAGTTAATAGAATAGTTGAGTATTTAAACACTTCCACAAATGGTACCCCCAAATCAACATGAATTGGCTGATTAGGAACATTCTAATTATGCAATTCTGAAGGGCTTTATATAACAAATAATAATAGTACATTTGATTTGTGTATTCATTTAATTTTGGAGAGTGGAAGTAATAAAATAATAACACCATGTGGATAGGTAAAGAATGAGCCTAATACATAGCTACATACAGAGGGAAAAAAGAAAGAAAAAGCATGTATTATTTATCTGCCAACAAAGCATGACTAGACTCTGATCCTACATTCACTTTGAGAGGGTTCCACTGTATGTTGGCTATGCAATCTAATTATCAGGTTCATTTCCTTTTTTGTTTCCCAGATACAATATGCCCCCAAAACCAGAGAACATCATTGCCATATGGGGGCATTCTTCCCTGAGGCTAGCGCCAGCAGGCTCCTCAGTGAGTACCTTCTCTCCTGCCATTCTAAAATTCTACATAAGAGAGAGTGAAGTGAGTGTGCGGATGGGGAAGAGATAAGCAAACCAAACGGAGGGGGTTACACTACGTGGTGGCTTGGAGCCTGGCAAGGGAGACTTCCAGAGGGATTCTGGCTCCGATGGTTTTGCTAACTATTTACTTCCCTTTATGTATTTTGTTGTACTGGTTCACATTCCCAGTTTAAATTAGTGCAAAGTGGATTCCTTACTGCAAAGCTACCATTTTGTTTGTTTCTTATTGAAGCTATAAAAAAAGGTAATATTTTAGTGACTGGACTTATGGCTCTCATCTGAACTATCCTTCATGCAACAGTTCCTTTACTTTGACTATACTTACTATTATAATGTAACTTGAGAATTTAAAATATATGATAAAAAATGGCCACTGAAATCAGTAACCAAATGATCAGCCTTGAAATGAACCCATGTAGATTTTTAAGATATGCAAGTTCAGTAACTAATGCAGTAATTGGCAAAAAGTTAACACAAGTCCTTTCATAAATTACATAATTAGCATTTCCAAGCCTACTGTATATTTCCCCAATAAGCTTTTTAAAATTCCTTCTAGTTTCCCAATATAACCTAAAACATTGGTTCCTTCATATTATTATTAAATTATCTATTAGAGAGTTCTTTATATTAAGTAATAGAACAGTTTTAAGGAGACTGTAAGTTAGCTTTCAACTATGCTGGAGGGAATTTTCATACTGGACTTTTCAAATATGCTGGAAGAGATCACAAATTGACTGACCAAGATAAAAATAAACTGAGTCCATTTCAAGAGGAGGAAGAAGAATCTCCCTGCCCCTCTACTGAATACACCAGGATAATGTGGTTAATTTGAATTCTGTCCAAAAATCCTAGTTTTCCTCTGGAGTTTTGTGTTACTGATATGAGGAGACCATATTACTGAAACCCAAATACAGCATTTGTTTTGGCTACCGCTTTTTTAATTTTGTTTGGATAACAGTGGCTACTATGGGATGTTTTTTTTTTTTGGGGGGGGATGGGGTTTGTTTTTAATGTAGGAATTTAAAACACACCTGAATATTCCAAAGTACACAAAACAAAAGAAGAATAAAACACTACCCAGGAATGTATCACTGAAATTTAAAACAAAACAAAACACAACACCCTGCAATTTTTTCTAGTAAGCATATCATGAGCTGGGAAGGTCTGAGAAAATCTTTGACCCACTGCCTAATTACATGGCAAAGGGCTGGAACATGTTTCGTGGATTGCAAAGAGGGAGAACTAGAATAAAAACAGTTTGTTTTCACATCACCAAGCCCTGGATGAAAGCATAAAGGGATTGCTATTTTTCACTTTTTGGTCTGTTTAGATCCTCTTTTGGTCCTTCATCTAAATTTATTATCACAATGACTACTTTTTAGTTTTAAAAGGGGTGGGGAAGAAGACAAGGAAATCCAGGTGCTTTGGAAAAGGACTGATTTCTTGTACTTGTGATTCTCTATGTCACCAGGTTAAGTCCTGCTGCTGTTCTGAAACCAGGCACACAACTTCTCCCTCTTTGTAGCTTCCAAACACACACACTGTATGGAGGCAGCTGGGCATGCATTTTGGATACACATTGATATATGTTTGGATGCAGACACATGGATAAGGAGAGAAGAGCAGCTTGATGACACTGTTGCCAGAACCTTCCTGAAATACCGTTTTGACAAGATTAGGACACCCTCTTCTTCCTCACAACTACGTTTCTAATGTTTTGCCAAAAATCTACCTTAAACATTGTATTGCAGGGTTTCAAGCAGAAGCACCTTTTATTCGTGCTTTCTTTGATAAGCAAATCCCTTATGTCGGCTAACCTCGCTTAAAAAAATTCTTCATAAAAACAATCACAGAAGCAAAGCATATCAAAACATCTTTCTTGAAAAAACGGGAAGATTTAACGAAGGAGGTAGATTGTTGGCATGTAGCAGCGGGGAGAGCAGCTGCAACCAGACAAAGTCCTGAATGTGTGCAGCTCCCTGAGTACTCTGCTCAGTACTACTAGAGGGAACACACATACACGTATTAGCACTCCTGGTGAGTTAAAAATAAAAAAGGCTGCAAGGTGACTCTATGATACAGGGTGAGCACATTTTCTTTCTTAGATTGCAATTACTCCTGGCAATGTTTCATGTGACACACTTCTATGCCAGGGAAAGGCTTTTCAGTCATTTAGAAATGCAGTTACTCCTACACCCCTCGCTTTCATACATCCATGTGGTGACGCGTCTCTCATTTAGGCTACTTTATATATGCCTTCCTGATATTAAATCATCCATATAGCAGACGATCCTACCTTCCCAGCTCTTCTCATCACACAATGCAGTCAGGTCCAGCTCCGGCACTTCGGAGACAAAGCTCTCCTGCTGGTCATCGGTATCTTGAGTCCTCTGCAGTTTGGTGTCAGGTATGCTGGGATGCTCCTGAATCTTCATTGTGGGGCTCTGTAATAACAGCACAATGTCTCCAAATATCTATTGCTCACCAAATCCCAAAAATGTCTGCAGCAATTTCACTCCTTCTGGACGAAACCTCCCAAGCTGTGGCTGTGGATCCACCCAGCACGGAAATCAAAATCATAGCTCGAAGCCCCCTGGATACTAGCTGGCCACTTGCATGCAAAAAGCAACCGTCCATGTGTGCTCCTTTAACTTTTCTTCTGCGAGAAAGACAAGATGATTTCCACGAGCTGCTGCTCCTGATAACTGCAGGCAGCTGACAGTCTTGATGGTTACTGATTGGGACCAGGAATGAGGGAAAGGAGTTTGTGTTTCCTTAAAGGAGTAGGACTCTGCAGACTGTAAACAATAACAAAAATCCTGCTACTGCTGTTGCTATGGCTGTAGAAGCAACATGGTGTCTCCTGTGTGCAGACTCCTTTGCCCCTTCGGGAAACAGTCCTGCAAGGCCAGGAGCAGAGGCTGTGTACACGAACACTCTCCTGCTGGCCCTGCAGGCTTAGATCAATTAAGCGGGGTTAGCTGCACATTCCCAGATTTCCTGTGGTTGTTTTCGCCCCAAGTGTGGGGAGGACAGACTATTTATGGAGGAGCTCTGGGTATTAAAGCATTGTTGCGCAAATTCAAACAGCACAGGCGTTTGGCGGCTCATCTGGACTAGCAGTAAGCAATACGGCCTCTGGAAATGAGCCAAAATTACACGGGTAGCGGGACTTTTTTTTTTTTTTTTAAAGTAAAAAGCCAAGAACTGGCAAGGTGGCAATGTATAATTTATATCTTACAAATATCCAACTGTCCCTTGTTTTCCTACTATTCATCTAGTCTGAATATTAAATACTCAGCTACACTTGGTTTTGCTCATTGGGGGCACCTACACCCAGGATGGGATAAATAGGAGATGGAAAAACCCTCTCCCAAAGGCTGCTAATTTTAGCTAAGTGATTTTATGTTAACAAAATCTGCACGGAAGTTAATTCTTTTTCACCTTGCTCTTTGGCATCTTGTAAACCCAACCATTGTCACTTTCCCTTCTCTCATAAGATTATAAACAAATGTGTTTACTCATAAATATTCTTCTCAAGTAGCACAGATCTGTACAAAAGATTTTCTCTGAGAATCACTGGAAATTTATTTTAGCAAATATATTAAAAGAAAAAACTTTAAACATCTGGAAATCATAAATGATTCCATTAATGCATGAGAAATGTTCTTCTGCTTAAAATAAGCACTATTAAGACTTCCAGCTACTTTTAATAGCTATTCAACCTACTTTGATATCACAAGGGAATAGACGGGGCTTTTACTATAATATTTCCACGAAATGATGCGCGAGGACCGCTATTTTCTTCAGCACACTGGGAATACAATGAAATATCATCAATCAGTTCATGATGAGCTACTAAAGTCAGATGGAAATGCCAAGTAAATCTGGGGCTTTAAGACACTTCCAAAACGCTGCTTGTCTGTTGGGGGAAAAACAGATTATGCATTTATGCCACAAAAGTTATTTGTTCCTTGAGCTGAATCCTAAGTGGACTAGGGCTGAATGACCGAATCTGGCACTCAGTCTAAGAGCTACAGGGTCAGTCACCAACTATTTGTGCGTGTGTGCATGTGTGTGTGTGTGTGTGTGTTAGAATCTGCATATAGCAAATAAACATTTTCTCAATAAGGATTTTTGACACTTGTTATGCTTAGAGGCATAAAAAAGGGAAGAATATAAGAAATTGGACTCCAGGGCAGCCCGGGTGGCTCAGCGGTTTAGCGCCGCCTTCAGCCCAGGGCATGATCCTGGAGACCCAGGATCAAGTCCCACGTCGGGCTCCCTGCATAGAGCCTGCTTCTCTCTCTGCCTGTGTCTCTGCCCTTCTCTGTGTCTCTCATGAATAAATAAATAATCTTTAAAAGATAAAATGAAAAAAAAAAAGAAATTTGACTCATATTGTAACCACAGCATCTTCTTCATGAAAAACATATATCAGCCCCCCGTACTGTACTACAGTGTAATGGACACAGATTTTGCTTAGAGGTAGACCTGGGTTTGCCATGTGGCTGACATTTACTAGCTTGGTGCTCTGGCTGAGGGGCTTCATTTCTTTGAGCCTCTGTTCCTTAATCTGTGAAATGGCGTTAACAGTATCAATCTAGCAAGGTTCTTTTGAAGATCTGGGAGAAGGTGTGAAAGGCCATTAGCACAGTGCCTGGAGCATAAAATGTGCACAGATGAGGCCATCAGTCTTTTCATCTTTTCTGGGCACCGTAGGAAGATGAAAGCACTGTCACATCTCAAAACGCCAGAGACAGGCATTGGAGAGGAGGCCTGTCCAACAGCAATGCAAGGCGAACCATGCTCCTCAAAGAGTGGAGTTCTAAGATGCATTGTGAAGAAACTGAGACAAGAGACATTCAGGTTCCCTGCACAGTCAGCAACAGCGATTTTGTTTGGGGGGCAGTGTGGGTGAGAGGGATTGAGGAAGTGCAGAGACAGGCACCTGGGGGGTTGGCTGGACACAGAAGGGGAGGACAGGAAAGAGGGACAGGCAGGTGATGAAGGTGTCAGGTGAGCAGATGCTGGACTGAGAAAGGGCCTGTATGCTTGGCTAAGTGTGGATCTTATCCTGTAGTTGATGATGTAAAGCCATGGAAGGATTTTAGAAATAGAGTAATAATGGTAAAATGTGTTTTCCAGGCTGAGGCCTTGCAGATGGGAATGAATGCTGGTGGGAAGACCTGCAGGCCTAAGCTGGGTTCCGTAGGCAGCCTGTGTCCCTTCCTAATGCCAGACACGGACTTTGCTTCCTGCACACCTGTGTCTGTCAGGGCACTCGGAGTCCTGCAGTGCTTGACAGAACATGTGTAAAATCCTGAAATTCTGCCCCCCCATTGTAAAAATGTGTACTTTTTATGATTGCTACATCTGTATTAGCACTCATTTCAAAGGAAATTGAGATTACATTTTTTCTACATCCGAATTAGTATCCATTTCAAAGAAAATTAAAGTTAGAAAATTACACTTTTTCCCCCTCCAAAATCCACAGATTTTTATTTATTTATTTTATTTTTATTTATTTATTTTTAAATCCACAGATTTATTCATTCCTTTGACAGCATGGTTTGGTGTACCCTTTCTGTGCTGGGCTGTGTGAGACATGCAAGCTCCCTGCACTGAGAGAGCTGACATTTTGTGAAAGAGGCTCAAGAATGCCCAGTAGAATTCTGAGGACACTTGATTTGGATGCAACACAACAATGGACCACCTTGTCAATTATTGAGTTGCCCTTCACAGTGTTCAAATGAAGTCTGAGAGTCAGGCATGTAGGAGAGGGAGAGATTACCACCCTGGGTAGGAGGCTGAAATGGATAACCCCTAAGATCCTATTATTCTAAAGAAGAGAATCAGGTCAAAAGTTCAGTAATTTATTCAGTAATAACATATATCACATAATATATATTTATAATAGGGCTATCATGCCTTATGCTAGAGATACAAAGATAATATTTACTCATTTATTTGACTCATAATTTTTACATATCTACTACATGCTAGACAGTGGGGATACTTTGGAGGACAAAATGAAATCCGTCCTAATGAATCTTACAGGAAGTGACTTGTAACCAAAGGAAAAAAAAAAAAAAAAACAAGCCAGGTAGTGATATGGACTATGGAGAAAAATAAAGCAGAATAAGAGAGATGATGGAAGTAGGGGCCATAGTCTGCTACTTTATATTCAGTGGTCAGGAAGGCCTTTCCTTGACGTGACATATGAGCAGAGATATGAAGGAAATGCGGGAATGATCCATCTATGGGAAGAGCATTCCAGGAAGAAGGCCCTGAGGCAAGGTCATTGTGTTTAAGGAATAGCAAAGAGATCACTGTATCTGGAGTCACCAGGTAAGGATGTTTAGAATATGCCACAGATAACAGGATATCACTTGCACTATGGACCTATGTTAACTTACATAAGTTTCTGGACTTTCTGGCTGATTTCCTACACAGCAGTGGAGGGGTCTCTTCTACATAAACCACACTGGCTTGCAGAGCATGGACACGCTGGGCACCACACTCACCAGCACATCCACACACTTGGCTCTGTCCTACAATGCTGTGATCAGTCCCCGAGGTTGCTCTTTCACTTGCCTACTGCTCCTAGAGATCTGATTCTCAATTTATGGCCTCACTGGTCTCACCAGAACCTGATACGGCTGCTGTGCCTGGGGATGCAGAGTGGGCTGCTGGTGCGGGCTCAGGGTTTACGTGCATATGGGAGCTAGGGTTGATGCTCTGTGGCCACCCACGGTGAAGCTGTTCAGGTTCTGCAGCAATACACCAGCATCAAAACTACTCTTCCTTTAACTATTCGTTAGCCTAGATAGGGTGAGGCACCTCTCCAGACTGTTCCATACTCTGTCCTAGTGCTCATCATATGGCATTGCACTTGTCTACTTGCTTACTTGATGCTTCTCTTAGGTCATTCATGTTAAAGTGTCAAGGACATTCTAAAGTACCAAAATATTTCTGGTTTCAACTTCTATTGTTTATATGTCTTATATCTTCAGTTAAATCAGAGAGTAAGTGAATTACAGCAGCCCTCCCTTATCTGGCGGGAGTACATTCCAAGATGCCCAGTGGATGCCTGAAACAGAGGATAGTACTGAACCCTGTATACACTCCGCTTTTTCCTATACATACACACCTATGATAAAGTTTAATTGATAAATTAAGCACAGTAAAAGATTAATAATTACTAATAAAATAGAACAATCATACTGTAGAAGTTATATGAATGTGGTCTCTCTCTCTCAAAATATCTTACTGTGCTGTACTCACCCTTCTTGTGATGACGTGAGATGATACAATGCATGATGAGATGAAGTGAGGGGAATGACGTAGGCATCATGACATAGTTGTTATGAAGATTAAATGAAGCACATATAAAAATGGCTAACCCATAGTAACTGTGAAAAAATGCTATTTCCAACTATTCACGACCTCTCTTTCACATTCATTCATCTGGCAAGTGTTTACTGAACACATGCTATGTCCTAGGTACTAGGATTACAGGAATTAACAAGATACAGAATTTAGTGTGGAAGGAAGATGCTGAATGTTTAAGTGCCAGTGTCATGAAAGTTATATCAGAAAAAACAGGATGCTAGGGAGCAAATATTCAGAGAGCTCATTTGGGCTGGGGCCTTAGGGGACAGTCCATGTTCAGGCCAAAGAATCATTAATTACTAGTCTATTCACCTGATCTTTGTCAAGACTTGCCCCTGTCTAACCTAGGTTGGATTTTTCGATCCTCAGACTTCACTGATTTTCCTCCTTCCCTGACTTCAAATAGTGAATTTTTGTTCCATCCCTTCTCCCTCCCTGCACAGGATATAAATAAACATCCTTAATAGCTTACCAGAGCCAGGAACAGTGATATCAGAGAGTATACTGTGTGATGCAGTTGGCACAGGAAGAAACCACACAGTGTTAATACAAGAACCACATGGAACCATAAACATTTACTGTTTGGCCTGACAATAAAGGAAAATAGACATAACAGATTTCCAAAATTCATGTGAATTGCAAAGCTTCAGTAGCCTTTAGAGCCTGGATGAAATGGGAAGTGAATCTAAACAGAGCTTTTAAATTATTCTGATTCTAACATTAAAATCAGTAACAAAATCCTAAAGCTTCCATTCAATACAGTGAAGTTGAAACAACAGCAATTCATTTCATAAATACTTGTTGACAGGCATATTTCAGAATTTATCTCAAATCTGCTCAGGGCAAATAAAAGCCTACATTTCGGATGTCTGATAATTAATATATTTTTTGATAATTAATATTAATAGTGAGTCTTGATTGGAAAGCCCTTGTCTTCTCTCTTTCTCTCTCCATTCTTTTACTTTTTTTTTTGAAGCAGGATTAAAAAAAGGGAAATTGTCTTTTGTTTATTATGAATGTCTTATTTGTTATCAAAGGTATGCTTCTAAGCTCTTCTAAGCAGAAGGCTTAGAAAGCATACAGAATGTAAAAATATTGCGAAAGAACTGAACACTTCATTAACTTTATACTTCTGACATAAAATGACCTCTTCCAGATAAGGTAATACCCTTCTATGTACTCGATAATTCTTACAGGTTTTGCTTTCTTGATAAAGAGATTAAGTATAAGATTACAGTTTTAATATTCCGGATTTCATACAGAAGCATGATATATTTCCACAGTAGAAAATAACTTATCAGAAGGGATCAAATTGAAGCATAAAGTTTAAGTTCCATTGTAAATAGAACTTCGAAAATCTGTATTTTAGAATCTGTATTTAGAACCTAGAAATTGCTAGTTTTAAGAATGACTTTTCCTTTGGATACTTCCAGTTGTTCACGGAGTTTAAAAAGAAAAGAACAAAGATTTTGGACTCCCAACATATTCAGGGAATAGTACACTAGGCTCTTCCTTATATTAGCTCATTTCATACAGCCCAAAAGGGATATTTTATTAAAATGCCAACCTTTCAGAAACTTCCCCATTGAAATCATATTTTAATTTTTGGCATTTTGAAGGGACTCAACTTTTTTTTCACTAACCATCTGAGATCTTGAGCAGATTCTCTTTTTGGGTAAGATTAGTTGATTAAAAAATTAAAAAGATATGCAACGAAGGGATAAACTCGTTCATTTCTCAACACATGCCTTCAAACAAAAATACATTTAGGGCTGTGACGCTTATTTCATTTTTTAAAAAAGATTTTATTTATTTATTCATGAGAGATAGAGAAAGAGGCAGAGACACAGGCAGAGGGAGAAGCAGGCTCCATGCAGGGAGCCTGACGTGGGATTCGATCCCAGGACTCCAGGATCATGCCCTGGGCCGAAGGTAGGCGCCAAACCGCTGAGCCATCCAGGGATCCCCTGTGATGCTTATTTCAAAAGTAAAGTCAGGGTTTTGCCTGCATTTGTGTTTGAGCCGCAGCTTCTAAGACCAGCCTCTCTCTGCCTATGTGTCCTTCTAAGGCGCATCTCTGAGACTGTGTTTAAAGTTCTACATTCTCATGGAGATGCTAGTCAAAACAAGAATGAGCACCTTTCCTTAATAGCTGGCATTTGTTGTCTTTATCTTTCATGAGTCTAAGAATTTATAAGGAAAAATTTAAAGGACAGTATTAATGAGGGCCAACTGTCTTCATAATGAAACTGGAAACATTATCAGAGCCATCCATGATGGGCATGCAAATGCCAACTTCTCACTCTGATGCTATAGGAGACGTGAAATAAAAGTAGAATTCTATGAGGGTTCACCACAATCTAGACTTATTTTTCACCTCTGAAATTTAGGAATTATTTTGGCATTACCAGAACATCAGATTAACTATTTAAGCCGATTAATAAGTTCTAAAAGTGCTACACATATTAAACAGTAAACAATGACATCACACCGTCAACAAGAGAAAACAGGTCTTTTTGTGGTCCATCACTAATAATTAAATATACATTTCCTTCAGGGAAAGAAGCACATGCCTTCACGAGGAGAAGCATCATCCCAATCTTGTGGAGTGATGTCTTGTTTTTCTCCTTTGGGGCAGTTGTAAAAGAAAGGTGACACGCAGAGCTTAGGCTGGATTTTAACTCACGGTCTAATTTTATCTCCTAGCTGAACTTACTATGACGACAATGATTATTAATAGTGAAAGCTTGAGGAGTGCCAATGGTAGGCTAGGTGCTGACTGGTGACTGCACATGGCTGACACATGTAAGAATATAGGACCTGGCACCTGGAAGAAGGATTTGAGATTGTTTCCCCCTGATTCATCCACTGCCATGGGAGCTGTCCACAGAAATACCAAGACAAAACTGAATTCAGCACGGATTTTGTTTGGGTGCCACTCAGAATTTATGAGAGTTTAATGTTATGAAGTCCATCCACAAAGATTGCTTGATACCTTTTAATCCCATAAAGGATAATTGGTAGAAAAGGGACTGAACTGAGAAGACCTCTCTAGGAGGCTGGCAAAGCAATTTTCTTTAAAGTAATGTTCAATGGCATGATGAGTAAGTGCTTGCTGTGAGTAGAGGAAAAAGAGCAGAGAAAGGGTGAAATGAGAAGAAAAATAAAGCGATGCTATCATGGGGAAACTGCTCTGAAAAAACTGCTCTGGTGTCAGGGAAAAAGTGTCAGCTGGCTGCCTGGGTCCCAAGGAAGGAGGCTTAAAGGAGTTGGAAATAAGAGATGAAAGATGTGGCTCAGAAGCTTTGAAGTCAGAAAGAGGAAGCATTCCCCTCCTATTATCCAGCTTGGCCGATGAAGCGTACATGACAAGAACTGAATACAGGGAATATGAGGAGTCCATAGCATTGGTAGGGAGGTGGCCATTCATTTCCAGTAATTTTATGCCAAATTGTACACGAGTGTGCATTTTTCTAAGAAGAGGGTCCGCAGCTTTTAGAATCTTAACCCCCTACACATGGTACAATTCTGAGGGGGGTAGGGACTGCAGCTGTTACTGAATCCTAGCCCCTCGCACAGTACCCACCCATGGCAGGACTCCATAGATGCTACTGGGCAACTCTATCAGCGAATTAGGACAATGTCCAATCAAGATCAGGGGTCACTGGGTTCCAGGGAGAGTTCTATGTATAAATGATATTTCAAGGATCAGAATTCAAGAACAGGTTGAAAAAAAAACTTTAAATCTGACCAGAGGGAAAACTGATAAAAATACTGAAAGTGGAGTTGGAAGCATTTGGAAGTATATTACACACACACATGAATGAAAATGGGGTTGAGCACACTGAATGGAAGCCAGAGTTGGGAGCAAGGGAAGTCATGCTGTGGGTCAGCATGGCCATATCCTCAGAAAATGAGGAAGACAGGAAATAACTAGAAATTTAAGATGTAGACAACATAAGGGAGTTAGGTATTTTTTTCCTCTATGGTTTACTTGAGACAAAACTCAGAAAACAAATTGGGTTTAGCAACTCACATGAAGTTTATCTTAATTTGAAAATTAATGAGATAAATCTCTGTGATGGATCCACTAAATCATTACCTATTTATTTCAATCACTTAAAAAAGGCATAAAAATATGGAAAATTAAACTAGTAGCTTTGACTTTTTGTTTCATTTTATGGAAAATCTAAAAGGAAATCTCTATGCTACTGAAGTTTCCCTTTGCAAGCAAAATAAAAGCAAAAGTATAGAGTTCTTAGAATTTCTCAAAGAATCTTTATGTCGCAGTATTTGCCTTTCTGACCAATCACAGTCCTGTCACTTAGTCTCATTATCCCTTATCGATAGGCTAATAATGCTTCACGTGTGCTCCCAGGAATATATGGACAGCCCCATTACCATGATTTTGTTTGCTACTCACCTCAAAATGCGGGGTGTGTCTGCCGTCTTTTTCATTTTCTTTGCTATAAACAGCAGCAGCAACAACAAAATATCATAAAATGTCAGTTTTAGAACAATGCTTTTCCTCCAGTGAAATTATGATTTATTTTAAAAGTAGGCTGAGTGGCCTTAAATTAAATTCTTGTAAAATCAAAAACCAAACCAAAACAAAAAAATCAAAAGAAAACAAAATCAGAAACACAACCATGAATATGGTTATTTGTCATTAATAGCACGATGGCAGATTTTCTATTCAAAGCATTTTCCTTTTTATAAAATACTATTGGAAAAAAAATACTATTGGTAAATATATAGACCTTTAATTCTATTCTTTTTAGTTCTTGTAATGAACACTGTGTTAAGTGAAAAAGAAAAAAAAGAAAGCTATTCATGTTCTTTGTAAGCAATGTGAAAGGAGTGCTAAAATTACCTTTCATCGGACATCAGTTCAACGTCATCAGCCCCAGGCCTCTCATGAGATGCTGTAGAACTGAGGCTTTCCATATTCTGTAACAAAACAAATCATGGTTGCCTAGTAGGAATGGCAAGAAATATGTAACAGCCGATCTTCCTTTATTTAAAATAGAAAAATCAGGGATGCCTGGGTGGCTCAGCGGTTGAGCGTCTGCCTTTGGCTCAGGGCATGATCCTGGGTCCAGGGATGGAGTCTCACATTGGGCTCCCTGTGAGGAGCCTGCTTCTCCCTCTGTGTCTCTGTGCCTTTCATGAATAAATAAATAAAATCTTTTTTAAAAAATAAATAAAATCTTAAAAAAAACATAAAGTATAATAGAAAAATCAGATAATATGAAGATATAAACCAATTCTGGTTCTCATATTTCTACCTTTGTTAAAACTAGAAAAATTATGAAAGTTTAGTATAGGGATCCCTGGGTGGCGCAGCGGTTTAGCGCCTGCCTTTGGCCCAGGCGCGATCCTGGAGACCCGGGATCGAATCCCACGTCGGGCTCCCGGTGTATGGAGCCTGCTTCTCCCTCTGCCTGTGTCTCTACCTCTCTCTCTCTCACTGTGTGCCTATCATAAATAAATAAAACAAAAAAAAAAGTTTAGTATATGCTGCTTGCATAAAATTGGATGTTGATTTTATCATCCCTTTAATGAGACTATCTGACACCATCACAGACATGATCATGTCTTTGTTAGGTACATCATCCATACCTTACAGCTAAACAGCAAAATCCAGACTGTCAGGACATTAGGGTAGTATTAGAACTAGAATCAAGGAATCTGGCCTTGAATCTAATCAGAGACCAATGTAATATTCACTGCTTATTTGAAATATTTTCAGGATAAACTGCCAATATAATATGAGATATCATATAACTTGTACCTAAACTGTAAACTATCTGTAAAAATAAATGTTAATTTAAGTACCTTTCTTTCTGTAATAGTCCTTATATCAGCTAAAATTGAAAAAATATAAACAGGAAACTTACTTTGAAGAGCATGTATTTCAGGCTGACCAAGAGGGCTTAATACTTATCAGGAGGCAAAAAGAAAAAAAACAAAAAACAAAAAACAACAACAACAACAAAAAAACTTATCAGGAGGCATACCTGTAAGTTTTTGACATGGCCAATGCTTTTTAAATACAATTCAGGTGACTGAGCACATAAGTAAGCCATTCCCATGAAGGAAGATTACAAATAAGCAAACAAGAGCACTTTTACATTCAGTAAACTGAAAAAAAAAAAAAAAATAGCTGCCCTGGAGATCTGAACTTGAACTTCATTAAATTCTAAGATTCGTATCTGCATTAAAAGAATATTAAGCACAATCCACCTATTCTATGTCATCAGAAAGACACATTTTGAAGCAACATGTGTTCATCTACATATTTATAACCTCCCATTATGAAAAATCCTTTACAAAGTAAATCTGATTAAGGTTCACAATAATCCCATGACACTGACATATATAAAAATCTTCCCAAAATAAACACATAGAGTAGAAAACTAATCTTTGGCTTGGTAGATGAATGAATTATTTTGCATTTATGTTGGTTTGGCCAACTTATCTGGAATTCTGAAACCTTAAAACCCCAGGCTCCATCAAACAGTAGAAACAAAGGGAGACACAGCGTAACATAATAGTTACAATGGTGGCTCTAGAGTCAGAATATTTGGGTTTGAATCCTAGCTCTATCATTTATCATCTTGACCCTACTTGACCCTCAATATCCACATCTGGAAAATGGAGATGGTAGTATTAACATATTAACACAGGTAGCCATGAAGATCAAAGGAAATAACACATGTAAAGCATGTGAATAATATCTGGTACATTTATTTTATATTATTATTATTTTTAAAGATTTTATTTATTTATTCATGAAAGACAGAGAGAGAGAGAGAGAGAGGCAGAGACACAGAGGGAAAAGCAAGCTCCATGCAAGGAGCCTGATGTGGGACTCGATCCTGGGACTTCAGGATCACATCTTGGGCCAAAGGCAGGTGCTAAACTGCTGAGCCACCCAGGTATCCCGATGCTGTTATTATTTCTAAAACTATGAAATTCATGTCCCCCAAAATATTTTACTGCTATTTCTCCAGTTAAGGTGATGTTCCAGACAATGGAAAGAGTGTCTGTGTCTGCCATTACTAAACATCATCAATTTTACACAGTTAATTTTAGAATGGATCTGAGAAATAAAAATTATGAAAATATTCAGTTATGTTTACATTTTATAACTCTAAAGTTTGAATTAGAAGAGGCCTCTCTAAAATGCCTCTCCTTAAACCAAAGCATAATTACTCTTATTACCTGAATGTGATCTTCTTGATAAAGGGAGTTATACCTATGACAAAGAATCTTAGTTTGTTCTCATTGGTAATCGTCAATAGATTATCAAAATCTTTAGTGTAAGATCTAGTGTAATAGTATTAGGTTTTTCTAAACCTCTGAAACATGATTTCCCAGGGAAAGCACAACTCTCTACTCTCATATCATTTTAAAACAGTGTCAATGAGATACATTTTTAATTATATGCAAATGACTATTTCAGAATAAAGAAAAATCTTCACATTAAGGCTAGGAAATATTCAGAAAGAGAGAAGAGAAAGTAAACCATAATAGTATTATATAAACTTAGATATTTCAGTAAGAATATAAGATTTTTTTTCTTCCTAAATAAAAAGAACCAAGATATAATTGCTTATAGGTCTTGAGAATTGTAAAAAAAGACAGCTATGTTATACCATGGAAAACTTTGCAAAAAGCAGCTGTTAAATGTGAGAAAGTCTAGCTGATCTCCAGGGTTAACACCAGTAAGCAGTAACTTGGACTCCCTCTCCGACTGGCTTTTTAAAAAAAATGATCCCTATGTTTAAGAACTCCCTAAGGATCTATTCTTTTTTTATAGATGTAATCAACAAAGGGTGACTTTCAATATTGTTCCATATTTCCTTCTAAGACTTCATAGTAATTCCAACTTTCATGTTGTCCACATATTTGAGACTGTTGAATATTCATGAGCTGCTTTCACTAAAGCAGCATGCAAGCACACAGTGTTTCTTTAGCAGTGCCTTAGCAAGGAAGTTGGGTTGCCCCTATACCTTTTGGAAACAGGAACATGTGAAGAATGTGTTATAACTGGCAACCTATCTCAATTTTTTTCAGAATGAAATAAGGGTAGTAAAGATCTCTGAATACAGTAAAAAAAGTACCTGTTTCCATGCGTGCAAAATATGCTATAAATTCTAACTTCCATTCTTTGCCTAAAGGGAGGGAAGATTAAGATAAAGAAACAGATCAGCCATTCCCTCACTTCACTGAGGTGGGAGAAGGGGAAAATGGAATGTACAGGTCAAATGAACAGCTGCAACGTAGACTTCCATTGTACCAGAAATTTGCTACTGGACTTTCAAGTGTTCTCCAGTTGTAATAGTACTTGTATTATGAGAAAATATGGATTTAATTCCTTTTGAAGGTTTTGAACTGCTTTATGTTCCAAACACTTCTCTAGGTGTGGTAAAAGAGTAGTTAATTAATGTTTGCATTTATTAAAGGTTAAGGTAATAAAACTCTTATAAAAATGTTTTATTGCATTAATTTTTAATTGGTCTTCTAAACTTAGGATCTTTTAAATAGGTAATTTTAAGACACAGCAAAGAACTATGACTTTAAGAATAATTTTAATGGGGGATCCCCGGGTGGCTCAGCGGTTTAGCACCTGCCTTTGGCCCAGGGCGTGATCCTGGAGTCCCAGGATCGAGTCCCGGGATCGAGTCCCACGTCGGGTTCCCTGCATGGGGCCTGCTTCTCCCTCCTCCTGTGTCTCTGCCTCTCTCTCTCTCTCTCATAAATAAATTTAAAAAAAAGAATAATTTTAATAAAATTGCTTCTTGAATTGCATTAAAAAAACAGATCAAGCTTAGTTTATAATCTATAAAATTCTGCTTCGTTTAAATTTTACCAGTGACTTTCAAAACACACAAATGTGCTATAATATAATTTATTTGGATAGTTTTTGGGTGTCAGAGGGAACTGAATTTTAAGAACTACCCTCCTCAATTATAAAAATAACCTCAAATCTAAAAATAACAAAATCCTTGAAAAAAATTAGCTTTAGACTGTGGAATTTATTTTCAATTCTTCCCCTAGGTCCCTCTCTCTGTTGTGGCATTGAAAGTCAGGCTCAAAACCTGTTTGACCACTGAAGCACTTGAAAACACTTGGAGCAAAAACAAATTTGTCTTCTGAAACTATAAAATGCTAACAAAACCTTTATAGAGGGCACTGAAAAAAATGCTTTCCCTCCATATACAAAAAGCTGAGTCTGAAGGCTGCAGAGAACACTGCTAGTCAAAACAGTTTCATTATCCTAACCTTGAGCTCTTAGAGAAGAATATTTGATATATTCTCATTTACAAAGGATTAACGTGTTTCTTTTTGTATCCTTTCATAATTTTATGTTTTGCCTTAAAACAGCTGTATAACTTAATCCATATTTAAAAAGAACTACAGAGATGATACGAGGATGCTGATAGAAAAGCTTGCTAGCTACCCACCCAAATTCAGTCTAATTTCCTCCCACAGAAATGAAGGAGCCACATGCCCAGGAGCAACACATTCACCAGTCTCTCTTGCAATGAGATAGGACTACATGACTAATTCCTCTCCAACAGGATGTTGTGTGGCTTGCAGGCCTGGCCAATAAACTACCCCAGCAGGCACATTCCTCAAAGCTCATGCTCTCCTTCTGTGAGCTGAAAAGGAGATGGAAACCACCATGGTTCATTGGATGCTACTTGAGGATGACAGAGAGGAACCTGGCCTGGGTCCCTGAAAAACTGCATAGAGCAAATCCTCTACTCCTCTCTCTGGCCCTCAACTCCTATTTTAGGTTGTTACGGGAGAAGGAACATTTACTGTGTTCAAGATCTTGTGTTTGGGTGTTCTTATTACACAAGTTACCCTTCATTGCAACCATTCATGTGCTCCTTTTTTCCATCACATTCTTTTGATGAGTGCTGAACTCTGCTGGG